AAAAAGAAGATTTTATTAAAATCCTCTAAAATAATAAAAAAGTAACTTTTTCAGTTGAAATACCTAAAAAGCAACTAAATATTATAGGACTTATAAAGAATTTCCCTCTTTAATAGCTCTAGTAATAGAAAATAATATAAAAGAGCCCTATAATTATAAAAATGCTTTAAATTCTCTAGAAAAAGAAAATTGGATAAATTCTATGAAATCTGAAATTTCAGAATTACTAATACAAAAAACCTTTTATTATCTATTCTTCCTAAGGATAGAAAGACTTTAAAAGGTCACTGGGTTATAATTAAAAACTGATCAAATAACAATATAATAAAATATAATCTAGATGGGTTATACAAGGATTTAATCAGGTTTAAACCTAGATTTTACTGAAACCTTTACTACTACTTCTAGACCTGAAACTATAAAAATTCTTTTAATAACAGCAGTTAGAAAAGGCTACTATATATTACAATATGATGTAAAAAATGCCTTTATACATGCTAATATAGATGAAGAAATTTATACTATATTTCCTATTGGATTTAAAGAATTTATAATGAATTTTCTTATTAAAAATAAGTTAATAAATAAAGAAATAAAAGAAAATATAAATAAAATAAATAAAGAAGAATTAGTTTTAAAACTAAATAAAGCTCTATATAGATTAAAACAAAGTCCTAGACTTTGGTATATTTTCCTAGCTAAATTGCTAGAAAACAGGGATTTTTCCCTATGCCTTATAATAAGGGAATATTTATAAATAATAGTTTAAAAATTGCTATTATATGCCACGTGGATGATTTAATTTTTATTGGTCCTTCTGATAAAAATATATATAATATAATTAATAATCTCTCTAAAGATATAAAAATCCAACCTTTAGGAGAGATAAAAGACTTTTTAGGAATGAATATCTTTATTAATAGAGATAAAAAGAGCATATATATATCCCAGTTAAAATATATAAAAAATATACTTATAAAATATAATAAAACTACTATAGGAACTTCTAAAATACCTGCTATTGCAGGAGAAAAGCTTATTAAAGCTAAAATAGAACCTTCTAAAGAAGATATATTAGAATTTCAAAAGGAAATAGGTTTCTTATTATATCCAGCTATAAAAACAAGACCTGATATAGCATATAGTGTTATAAATCTATCTAGATTTATATCTAAACCTAATAATTCCACTTTAAAGCTTTAGATTTAATTTGGAAATATTTAAATAATAATTAGAACTTAGGCTTATATTATAACTGTGATTTTTCAGAAAATTCACTAAATAATATTATAAGAGGCTATAGTGATGCTAGCTGGGCTTCTAATATAGAAGATAGAAAATCAGTTAATGGATACTTTTTTATCTATTTAATAACCTTATAAGCTGGAATTCTAGTAAAAAAATGTGTTCTACTAGTCTTGTGAAGCTAAATATATAGCCTTAAGGGAGGCAGTTAAAGAAGCTAAATCCCTTAATAATATATATAAATATATAAATAAAGAGCTTTCTTTAAGCTATAATAAGGCTATACTTCAGTTTTAACTGATAATGAAGCTGCTAGACAATTAGCAAAAATTCTTCATATTATAAAAAATCTAAACATATAGATATTGCCTATCATTTTACTAGAGATAAGGTTAAAAAGGGCAATATACAGCTTTTCTATATAAAAAGTAAAGATAATATAGCAGATTTCTTTACTAAAAGCTTAGGAGCTATAGAATTCTTAAGATAAGAAATTATCTATCTTTAAAAGATTATAAAGAAATTAAATAATAAGAGTTTTTTACCTATTATAACTAGTTTTCTCTTAAAAAGAGTTTTTAAATAAATAAAAAAATACTATATAAAATATTTCTCTTAATAAATAAAATATAAAAGAGTTTTTATAATTTTCTCTTAAAAATATAAAATATATAAAAAAATAAAAAAAATTTATTTTTTCCTTTTAAATAAAATAAAAATATAAAGAGTTATTTTTCTCTTTAAATATTAAAAAATTATAAAGATAAATATATAAGCTATAAAAAGAAGTTAAATATCCCTTATATATTTAAGGGAGGCTGTTAAAGTCCAATAAATATATAAATCTATAACTATATAACTTCTAATAACTAAAATACAAGCTTAAAATAAGCTTAAAAATTCTAAGAAAAATCTTATAATATAGTACTAAAATACAGTACTAATAGCACTATTTATACTGTATGACTAATTCATCTGAATCAGCTTATTAATCTATCCAAGCTTAAAAGTCAAGCATTTTAATTTATAAGCTAAGCTTTCAATTCCTCCGTGATTTGAAATCAATATTACTCGGCAATTAGAGAACCTAGGAAGACATATTCATACTATCTTAGAGCTGAATTTCTAGGCTTTCCAATGGTATCACTTTTATCTTATACCTATATATTTGCCGGCTGAATTTGTCTATAAAAGAAGAGCTTCCTCTGGGTTTATTTCTTCTTCTTTTATCTATATACACTATTAATATACTATATTATACTATCTTATATACTATTATCCCTTACTCTTATCTTATCTCTTATCTCTATATCCTTTATAAGGATATCCTTTATCTATAATTAATTTTATTCTTCCACTATCTTATAACCTCTAATAATACCTTTTTCTTTATAGAAATTATTAAGGTTATTAGTAAATTCTTTAGTATTATTAGAAAATACTTATTTTATAGTTATTTTATTATTATTATTTTCTATTTCTACTTTATATTCTTTAAAAGCTTTTATAGCTTCTTTTTTATTATTTAATAAATAGACCTTTAAATACTTAGTTACTTTATCTAAGAAAGTAATAAAATATTTATATTTATTATAAGTAAAAGGTCTTATAGGTCTATAAATATCTATAGATATTTTGTCTAAGAATTTATATTTATTAATAGTTATTTTATTAACCTTATTAGTAGCCTTAGCTTTAATATAATTTTTATATTATATAACTTTTATAATAGATTTTTTATTTATTATTATTTTATAGTTTTTATATTTTATATTATATAACTTAAGAATATATTTTCTTAAAGTATTAATATTTAAGTAACTTAATCTTAAATACTACTTATATAAATCTATAGTTATTACTTTCTTTTTACTATTTATATTATCTTTATTTATATTATCTTTATTTATATTATTATTATTTATATTTAATAAAAGCTAAGAGGTATTTTCTCTCTGTTTTTTATATATAGTAGTAGAAAAAATATATAAGTTATTTATTTTAAAACCTTTAGTTATAAAATATCTTTCTTTAAATAAGAAAATATTATTATTATATATATAAGTACCTATATTCTTTAGAGAGAATTAGCTTATAATATTAATTCCTAATTAAGGAATAAAATAGCAGTTTTTTTAGAAATAAATCTTTTTATTTAAAAACTAAATAATTAAATTACTAAGCCTTTAACTATTATAAAGGAAGCTTTTCCCCATCTTACAATCTTATAAATTTTCTTATAGTTAAATAAATATTTTTTACTAGAAATAATATACTTTATAGCGCCTATATCTAATATAAAATTTAATATATTTTTATTTTTATTAATTAAAAGAGTATTTACCTTAAATTCTTTATATATTTTAATATAATAAGATAATTTGGATATTATAATCCTATTATTTTATTAATATATCTTTCTTTTAAAGACTTATTTTTATAGTTATTACTTATAGATAAATTAATATCTAACTTATATTAGCTTCTAAATTTAAATCTTTTAAGTTTTTTAAATTAGAAGAATAAAATAAAGTAGAAGAATCTGGAATTTCTTTAATTTGCCTATTTGTTATTAATTCCTCAGTTACTATAAGCAAATCTTTTTTTTTTCTCTCTTTCTTTCTTTTATTATTTTCTTTTTCCTTTTAAAGGATTTTTTTTTTAGAAGAAGGTTTCTTATTTTTAGTAACTTTAAAGCCTTTAGGTACTTTATTAGGATATAAAAAATAACAATCTTATATAAATGCCCTTTAAGTTTATAATAAGAGTATTTTAAAGTAATTTTAGTCTTTTTCTAAGACTTTTTATTAATTAAAAAAGCTTTTTTACTATTATTTTTAAGTCTTTTAGATTTATCTAGTAAATTAGAAGATAAAGTTTCTAAAGTATAATAATTTAGATTATTTCTTAAAGCTTAAGAAATACTAATTATATAGCTAAAATAGCTATTATCTAAATTATATAAAATCTAGGTTATAATTACTTTTTTAGGAATTTTAATATCCTTACTAAGTAATTTATCTTTTAATTCCTTTATTTTATTAAGATATTTCTCAATAGAATATCTTCTAAGCTTAAATTAAAGAATTTCTTAATTAAAAGAATTTAAAAGTAAAGCTAGAGGAATTATAAAGATTTTTCAAAAAATCCCAAGTATCTTTAGTATTATTATAATACTTTATTTACAATAAAGGTCCATCTTCTATTAAAAGACGAATATTTACAAGAGCTTCTTTAGATTTTTTATTATTTTGTAATAAATACTAGAATGAATTTTTTCTTTAATAAAAAAAGCTTCTATTCTTAGAGACCAAGTAATATAATTTTAGTTCCCTTAAGCTTCGGAATGAATAAAGTTTTTCCGAATTTCCATTTTTTCTGATATTTTTCTGATTTTTTATAATATTTTTCTTGATTTTTTCTTTTTTATAGTTTTCTACTTATTAATAATAGTAGAAAAATCGAATAAATGTAAAATGCATTTCTTATAAAATATATTTTTTTTCTTTTTATAAAAGAGATTTTTTATAGATTTTTATCTTTCTTTAGACTATACTATAATAATATAATATAATCTAGTAAAGAGAATAGATTTTCTGTTCTTAGTCTTATAATAAAATATGCAAAATAAAAATATCTTGCTAAATAAGTTGAATTTTTTGTGATTTTTTAGGTATAGAGTATGCTTATGTAATCCGGGCTTATAACTTATTAGAGGTTATATAGCAATAGAAGAATAAAATAAATTATAAATAAAGAATATTCTTATAAAGAATATATAGATAAGGAATAAGATAAGAATAAGGGATAATAGTATAAAATAGTATATAATAGTATATAATAGTATATATTATACTAATAATAATAATATATAAAAGTTCAGAATTTACCAGAGCGTCTCTAGCTTTTTATAGACAATTTCCCAAAATCTAGCTCTTGTAGCTAGATAATAAGTATACTATTAAAAAGCCCAAAAAAGCAGCTTCTTAGTGGCACTATTATTGTCATCTAATGTCTAGAGGATTCTAAGTAATTCTACTTTAAAATCAAGTCTCTGCGTTGAAATTAAAGGTAGTTTGATTTGAAATCATTAAAGATATAGAGATATATTATATACCATAAAAAAGCCTAAAAAAGCAGCCTTTTTCTAGTATAATCTTTGTACCTAAAATACTTATACTTTCCGAAGTATCCGGATTGTAAGTTAAAATAATTTGGAATTAAAAATGATTCTAAATATAAGTGGGCTATTATCTTTTCTATATAGTATAAATAGTATAATTAATACTGTATTTATACTGTATTTTAGTGCTATTTATACAGTATAAATAGTACTATTAATACTGTATAATATTTATTTATAGAATTAATTAAGATTTAATTCTTAAGGTTAAAAATATATATTTATATATTTATTTAGTCTTTAATAATAGTAAAATGATATATTATTTATAATTAAGACGGATTTTAAGCTAGGCTATTTACTATAGTATAGTAAGAGTTTCTTAATAAAATCCTTAAAGATTTTAATATTAGTTAATTTATTATATACTTAAAAATAAATAATACCTTCTTAGATATAAGTAGGTAGGATTTAAAGTCTCTAGCTACAGTAGAAATACTTAACTTAAGTAGGTGTAACCCTAATAGAAGCCCAGCCTTTATTTCTAGTCCTAATATTTTTATTACTTTTAGACTTATCTATAAAAACTATCTAATAGGAGTAATAAAAGGATCTTTTATAGATATATTCCTCTTGAAGATTCTTATTATACTCCTTAGTAATAATATTTGCTACCTTATAAGACTATCTTATCTCTTTTAGGGCTCGGCTAATAGCAGACTTGGATATAATAATATTAAACTCCTTATAAAGGAAGGTGACTATTTTATGGATATTTATATAAGAGGTGACTGTAAGTTCGGTATGTAAAGTAATTATTATAAGAGGAGATATTATTTTAAGTTGACTGATGCTATTTAAGGGGGCTTTTATAGCTCTAAAGAGAAGTATATTTAATTAGATATAGCATACTGTACGGGTAGTATATTAGTTGACTTCGGCGATATCTTTGTTTGTAAGCCTATTTTTGCTATTTGACTTACTCTGTATTATATACTGAATAGATAGGAGGGTAGTAGGGTGGAGGCTTGGTGTTATGGTCGTCTAGTTGTGGTGTGTAGGAAGGGATTACTGTGGCCGTTTCCAACTATACAGATTAGTGAGGGGCACTCGGAGCTCGGGTGGATATAAACCCGAGTGAAACGGAATCTGATTTAAGTATAAAGTGTGAAAAATTTCTGTATTCATACTGTGTAAGGGTGGTCTGTGCGCCCAAAGTCATCTTTACCGGTCCTTGAAGAGGAAGCCGATTTCGCTTCTGACAATAATACACAAGATTGACATCATCAGAGTGCCACGCTAGTTTTCCGACACGTTCCTCAAGGCATAGTGGCGCAGTAGCGTTCGATTGGAGTGGTGGCGCATGGTATTATAATACGCAAGCTATTCTTCAAGGTAATTTAGGAGCGGTCCACAAGCTCAATATTAAGCAGATTAAGGTCCTCAATATTTAAGTTCCAGTACATACCCTATCCAAAAGAGCACCTAGCTAAAGATCATCTTATATGAGGACTTATTCTTCGAGAAGAATGACAATCTTGGATATCAGCTATAACTATGGCCACGGTGGTGAGCAACAGTCGCTTATCCCAGGGAGGCCGCGAAAGCGAGATCTACCATTCGGTCCACCAGGAGCCTTGTTTCTAGCACGGGGGCGAACTGATACGGACCATGCTGATACGGCGGTTCATAGATCGGAGGAGGATGTTGAAGACCAAGAAACAAAAGACCGGTTGCGTAGCAAATCGACCCCCCTGTTGTTGTAACACATTTGGCCCAGTAATTAAGCGAGTGATTCGCACTCCGCAGCACAGGCTGTGATATATTCTTGCTGTAATCACAGCTGTGATATATTCTTCTTCGCACTGCAATTTTAGCCCTAGGGTGGGGAGGAAAAACGAAGTTGATCACAGCTGTGCACTCTTTGCTCTTGTGCTCTTGTGCTCTTGTGCTCTTGCACTGCAATTTTAGCCCTAGGGAAGGAAGTGAGGGTCCCTCCCTTACATTCCCCACCCTTTTTGGGTGGGGAGGAAAAACGAAGTTGATCACAGCTGTGCACTCTTGCTCTTGTGCGCTTGCACTGCAATTTTAGCCCTTAAGAGGGCACCTTTGCACCGACATTCCAACGGAAACTGACCCGAGCCTTCGAGGTTGCGTGCCCAATGTAACCGCGCAGGGAAGACAGGTTGTCCTTTTTCGTTTAATGCCGTGGAGATTGAGATAGGCACCGACCGATGGAAAATAAGATATAAGGAAAAGGCAAGCCAACATATCCATGACCATAGACCAGGCGATGGACCTGTTGCACGCCCTAAGGGAGGAGCGCAGACGGCAGACCGTCGGGAGAGATAGCAGGATGGATGGATGCACGAATTTATTTCACCCGGGATAACTCTGGATGAGTTTTCTTTTACGCTCGTAATGACTTAGAGGTCGGGGGCAAGCTATTGAGATCCGCTAAGCCTATTCTAGAAATGTTACTAATACTCGGTTCTAAGCCCAATCAAGCTGTGTAACGACCGACTTGCCGCCCACTAAATGTAGCAGTATAAATTTAGACTTGACCAGCTAGATTAGAAAGACGAGTAAAATAAAAAGCCTTTCGTATTTTCGATCCTTCAGACAAAGCCAGGGTTAGAAAAGACGGTAGGTGGGCGGCTTGATTGTTGTGGCGCATGGGCTGTCGCTTAAAGTGGCGCATGAGGTTCGGTTGTGGCTTGACGTGGCTTGACGTGGCTTGGAAATCCTGACGTTCAGGGCGCGGCGATCGTCGTGCAGGCATCTCGCACGGACCATTTAGTGGCCTGAGCTTATTTTTTGGACCTGGAGGAGGGCACGGACAAGTTCCTCAAGGCATTAAACGAAACAGGAGACCGGTCCCTACGGGGCCCGCCAATGCCTTTCGGAACAGGCCTGAGAAGCAAAGCGCTTGCCTTGTGAAAGTGGAATACAGGAGACCGGCCCTACGCGGTCCGCCAATGCCTTTCGGAACAAGCCTGAGAAGCAAGGCACTTGCCTTGTGGAAGGAAGAGCCTGATAAACAAGCACTCGTCTTGCGAAAGAAAGAGGCTGACTGTCAGACAGAGCTATATGGACCACAATTGCACTACATTCTAGCGGAGTGCGCATTCCCTTTTAGCGTAGCTGGCAATGCGACACTCGGATGAAATCGGTCAGAGTCAAGTGGTGTTTTTTTGACACGTACTTGCATATATAGCTTACTCGCCTTCCTGACGTCCATAGTAGAGATCTGATAGGTCTGCCACGGCGGCGAAGGGAATTCGAAGCAGTAATTCGTGGCTGTTCTTCCTTCCTTCCCGGAGTGGTCCGGTTCAGTCGTGCGCTGCACCGGCGGGAGGTTTGATTTCACATCGCGTCTTGACCCCTGTTTCCGCCGCAACGGAGTCTCGTCGCAGTTGAATCGCCGTGCTGTCTCACCATAATTAATTGATCCTTAGGATTTAAGGAAATTAATTGCTTTGCCAATAGCCGCCATGGTTGTCGAGTTATTCCATCTCGATATTGAAAGTCAAGGTCTGTGTAACTGCGGCGGGTCACGGGATCCGGCAGATCACTGGGAATCCCTTACTGCTTTGGGCTGCTGCGACCCAATCTCTCTTCCATGGCCAAACTTAGCTCCAGGCGGACTCCTGCAGAACAGTCGATTCCCTATAGTACATTTGTGTCACAACCCAAGGCGAGCCATCGATCGCTCCCATTCGCATCGATCCCATCTCACATAACGGCATCCCCCAGGTGACGCGCGACGGGCGCATATGCGCTGGTGGACATGGATAAAGGGCCTGCCGGACGCGATGCGTTCGAAATAGCCATTATTTGTGCTTTGCCTCTTGAAGCAACTGCGGTCTCCTACTTGTTTGACGAAATCTGGCCCAACTAGTATCGCAAGGCAGTAGGAGATCCCAACCACTACGTCAACGGTCGTATCGGCAGGCACAATGTCGTCCGCGTCCTCCTTCCTGACATAGGCAAAGCCCACGCAGCCGCCGCCGCCGCCTCCCTCAATGCCAGCTATACAAATCTTCGCCTTGCCCTTCTTGTCGGGATATGCGGCGGGGTTCCGGGGCAGAATAAAGACGGAGGCGAGGTCTTGCTAGGGGACGTCATCATCAGCAGCGCGCTCATTCAGTTTGACTTTGGGGGGAGGCACCCAGGGGGCATATTCCTGCGCAATCTCAACATCGATTCAGAGTCCTGGTTTGCGCCTGCGGTGTGTCAGTCCTATGTCGGCACCGTGCTGGTGGCGCGGAAGGATGAGAAGCCGTTGCTGCCCCAGCATCTGGAAGGCGTGTGGATGTATTGTGATTGCATGGTGGATGTGTTTGGAGAGGGAGAAAGTACGCCGACACATTTGTATAATAGACAGGCATTCGAAGAGTGTAGACTGGGCTCGCTTTCACGGGAGACACCCAGCAGGAGGTGGCCCAGGCCATCGAACAAGGCGACAACTACAACTGCAAGATCCCTGGGGTCTTCTTCTACGCCCAGGGCATGCCCGTAGTTATCAACAAGAATATATACACCGGCTTGAAAGCTGTGAATGGGGCCGAGTTTACCACTACGGACGTCATTCCTGATCCGAAATCCCCGGGCTACCATCTTGCGGACGACGTTACCATCCACTTTGGTCCGCCGCTAGGCATATTTTTATAGTAAGGACAAATGCAGGGACAACAGGCAATCCCCGCCGAGAGCATTTCCCCGATAGGAACCTGTAGTGGGAGTTGGCTGGGTCGAGGGTATGCGTGATGGGCCGGATGAGCACGGTACCCGTTGGGAGGGCTGGGATAGCTAAATCTTTTGTCTCTTGCGACTGACTATAAATCCCAGGGCAAGACGTTTGAGGACGTGCTCCTGGAGCTGCGAGGAAATCGTATGACGAATGGTCAGCCTTCAACGGTGCGTTGGGCGAGGTATTTGACATCTCCTGGCGAGCTGATGTGGCTGACCCTCTTCGAGGATCCCCCTATCGACCGTCGTACCGATATTCCGTTCCAATCGCGATTTTATCAAGGTCAACACGTCCTGGAACCGCACTCAATTCGCCCTGACTGTGGCCTACAGCATTACGGTACATAAATCACAAGGGACAACGCTAGAAAGGGCGGTTGCGGACATATCACATAGGGATTTTCAGCACGGGTTGTCGTATGTGGCTGTCTCGCGTGTCAAAAGGCTTGACGGGATTATGTTCGACGCTACTTTTGACCTCCCGGCTATCACGACACAAGCAGATGGTGGTATTAGGGCAAGAATACGGGATAAAGACCGGCGGGAGTCTCAGAACATCCATCCCCGATAGGGAAGCTGAACGGTTAAGCAGGGAAATGATCTACATAGCCGATAGTTTCAATTGACGGCTTTCTCTGAAACAGCTTTGCGTTCGCCTTCACCAAGGGTCACCCGTTGGCGACTTCCCTACTACGTTGATCCGTGCCGGGCAGCATCATTCATTAGGTCGCGGCATGGGCGGTGACACGAATCCACACCCGGTCATCTCACATCGTCGAATCTCCCGTACCAAATCGAAGAATGCCTCATCGACATTGATATCGGATTCTGCATCTGCCTCGACGAATCCGCATCCGAAAGACCTTGCTAAGGCTGCAGCTTCCTGTGTTGTCACTTCTCTCGCTGACTCCAGAGAGCATTTATTGCCAACCAGGACCATGGGGAAGAAATCTTTATCCTTCACCCGGAGGATTTGCTGCTGGAAGGTCGTGATTTCTTCGAAGCTTTGGCGACTGGTGATGCTGTATACCAGTAGGAAGCCTTCCGCCGTTCTCATATACTGCTCTCTCATCGCCGAGTATTCCTCCTGGCCGGCGGTGTCGAGCACGTCGAGTAGAGCAACTTCGTCATCGATGACGCATTGTTTACGATATGAGTCCTCGATTGTTGGATCGTATTCATCGACAAAATCCAATTCTATTAGCTTTAGGGACTGTCAGTTTGGGCGAGGATTGAGACTGAGAATCACGTGGGTACGGTGCTTGCCTTAGTAATGAGACAACCTTTTCCAGTCCCGCCTCCTCCCACCACGACCAATTTGTATTCTCTTGGGAACTTGGAGGAAGGCTTAACGGGTCGAGCTTGGCCTTGAATTCTTTTCAGCTCCTTTCTCCATTCGTCAATCCGTGCCTCAGAGCCGAGACCAAAGAAGAAGCAGCTTTTGTTGTCACTGGTCCGCCACTCAATTTTGCAGCCTCTCAATTCTATGAACCGTTAAATCAATCCATAAATTTCCAGCGTAACTCATTTGTACCTTGTCTAGATGATCGGAATACGTGTTGGATATCCTTTGCATGAATGATTTGGACTATGCATAGCTGCGGCCTCAGACGATCCTGTGGTAACGGTTTCCTTTGTCTCAGAAACCCTTTTCGTAGACTCTTTGGGTACGCTTCTGTTGCTCGCAGTATCCCTTTCTGGTAGAGATATAACTGGGTCTGATATGTTTAGAAATTTAGTGGAATGACAACTAGGTTCCATGCGGAGAGTAACAAGATACCTTTACTACTGGACCACCTATAGGGTCTGCGATATCAACATTGTCAAACATCAAGAGTTCTCCGAGTCTCCAAACGGCTTTCTTTCCCTCATCATCCAGGTCTTTAGACAAGGCAGCTTTAGCCTTTTGGAGTTCCTGGGTAGCGATGGCAATATTGACAGTCTCTTTGACCCATTGTAGGCTCTCCTTTGCTGATTTGATGTCTCTGGATTCATGGAGTCCATGTTGAGCGAGTTCCTGGAAGTGGTTAGTTTCGTATGCAAGTCAGATCTGTGTCCATACCAGTAGGAAGGCCTCGTATTTCTCGAGCTGTCGGGAGGGGAGCCCTAAAACTGCCAGCGCATTGTTTAATACTGCCCGACGCTCGCCATGATTCTCCGCGGATGATAACGCAGTTCTGAGCGTTGATTTTGATTCTTTCTCTGCCGTGATAAGAGCCGCATAATAGCCAGATGACTGCTGTGACCATTCCTGAAAACCCGACAGCCAAGTTTGGCGCAAGTATGGCTTCCGAACCAACATCTCTGCCTTTATCAAGAATTTTCTTTGAACATCGACTAATGGACCAACTGGAGCAAACATTTGTTTGACTGTGTCAACGGGGAGCGTGCCAGAAGATATGATCTGCTCGGCGGTTTCGAGGAGGATCTCCAGACGTGTGAGGTAGAGTCGCTCATCGCGGAGGAATTCGTCCACAGCCAGTCCTGCAGGACTTGGTTCTGCCGTGAAGACCTGGGGGGTGAATTCGAAGAGAACGGCTTGAATCAAACCGGCCTCATCGAGCCTCGCTAGAAGCAGCCGCACTAGCCGGATAACCTAATTGTTGATAAGTTGCTGAGGCATTTTACGAGGTTCAAGGCTATTGTTTTACCTTAATGTGGTTTGTTGTGTCAATGCTCATGAGATCAGCTACAGTAAAGCAGTCAGCTGGCTGGAAACTCAAGCGGCTTACGCAAGCCTGAACGAATTTGACTATCGCAAGCTTTGCCACTGATTCAGATGGACTCGAAGCGATTAAACTTTCCCATCTCTCGTGTTGCGAGTTGTCGAGTTGATTAAACAACATCAACAGAGGAGTCCCGTGCCGAAATATGGCGATAAGAATTGATAGGGGGGTTTGGTCCTCGGTTCCCCTTTGAGTTTCTTGCCGGTGGAGTTCAGCAAACCATTCAAACTGAGACAGCTGAAGTTGCGCTTCAACACACTCATGGTAGATAGATCTCGTGTAAACAGTTGGGGAAAACAACGGTTTAGGCTGAACAGTTTCGTGTCCAAAATCGTAATGCTGTGGATTGGCAATATCCTCTGCGTACAACGGGAGAGCTAGAACGGAGATCTCAGAGATGTTACTGAGACTGATTCCGGAGAAAATAGACCACGCGTGAGTCCGGGCCACAGAACTGCGTACTGAAAAGTCCATGGTATCTCTCTTAGCTCGGCGGTAAACATGAGAGGCTTTGAGGTCACGCTCAAACTCAAACTCGACGAGAGAGGAGCGTTTTGGTGATGCAGTATGCGGCGCCAGACCATCAGCACCAGCTGTAAACTGGGATGTTGCTTGGTGCTGTGACGTATTGAAAATGCTCTCAATGTCCCTCATTCTCTTAGATAGATCATGGTTGCGTTCTAGGAGTATTTCCATAGTTGATATCAACTGCTGCTGGTTGTTTTCTGCTCTGACTTGGGAATCACTTTTTATCTTCAGTTGGATACATGTAAACCTCAACGGAGTGTAAATAGTGGACATCATACCTCTGGAGAATGTTCAGAATACTGTTGATAGATAACTTGAATGCCTGTAGCCTGGTAAATATGGCAGTTAAAGAACTCTTCTTTCTAACCCATTGTATTGGCGACCATAAACGCCCACCCGGGCTTATGGGTTCGGGCGGTGGGAGTGTCTGTAACACTGCCACGAGCTCGGAAAATATCAGGACACCATCGGTAAGCACAGCGATGAGTTGATCGACCTGGATTAGGGACGCATATTTTACATTTCTGGTGGAGATGTTGCTGGCAAGTTGCTCTAGGGCGGAGAGGATAGTCTGCGTCGCAAGAACCTCCGAGGAGAGTTGAGCCGCGATCTTGGGTGCGTCCTTCGCTGCCGTTATGTACGGGCCAAGGATTTTGGCAACCTCACCTGCAGCGGTGGCGATCCCCGCAACGGATGCGATCGCGCTCAGTGGGTCCATTCGAGATCTTCAGATGGCACGAGATGCACAGTTGAGGAGAGATCAGGGCGCTTGAGAGGGGGGGGGGGGGAATAAAGAAAATGAGTCATGAAGGTGGCTGTGCAGCTGAAACATCCGTCTTGAAGGCTTAATATTCGTTGCCTGGCTCCATCAGCAGCCCCCAGCCGCAGCCAAGGGCACAAGACCCTTTGTTGAGGCGATTCTGTGCTTGTGTTGAGCGCCCTACAGTACGCCTTAGTGGCTCGGGCCACACTTTGCCTCAGTAGGCACAAACAGCAAATTGCATTGACAGACCTGACAGGCTTGACAGCCTAGTCAGACACCTCGTTGAAGATCGGCAAGACGGCATCTTAGATCTTAGGTGGCGTACCAACATCGATCGCTCATTTGCCGTTGACCGAGCGCGGCCACCACACTTGGCATGCACACCACCCGAGACCATCTCGCCATCTACGGCAATATCGCAGTCAACCATCAGCTGCGCCAGAACGTCGAGCCCCAACTTTGGCCCGTTTGTCGGCAGGATCTGAATCCCAAATGTGCAAACCAGCCCAGTACAACCCTCTCTGGGATTGGGAAGGGCTGCGGCGTTTGGCCCACACGGCAACGTGCACGAGAAGCCGGTTCCGTGCGCCAACGTGCTGACGTCGCCATGAGCGGAAAACTCTCTGCGGCAAAGTGGTGGTTAGGGGAGGCGGACAGAGACGAGGGAACAGCGATGTGGAAGATGCAGGAATCCCGGGAATAATGCGCGTACTTGTGAAAATAATATGGATGCGCCTAAAAGAGAGGTTGGTAATTGATTTTAATTGATTTTAGGCGTTGTGGTAGTTTCATTTTAATATCTGTTGGCAAAGGATAGTTGGGTGGCCACCCTCGCTTATGAAGCACGTTATAGGCATTTGACGCTTCAATTTGCAGAGCCGGCTGGTTGAGGTTGATAGCCACGAATGCTGGTGGGCTGCAGATTGCTGTACGCGCTGTGGATCAAAAAGTGGCGTGGAGGAAAAAAAGTGGCGCGGGAGGAAAAAAAGTGGCGCGGGAGGAAAAAAAGTGGCGCGGGAGGAAAAAAAGTGGCGCGGGGAAAGGAAAAGTGGCGCAGGAGAAAAAAGGTGGCGCAGGGATTGTGGTGAAGCGGTTGTGGTGCAGGCGGCTCGCACGGACCATTTAGTGGCCCGAGCTTAACAGGAGACCGGTCCCCTACGGGGTCCGCCAATGCCTTTCGGAACAAGCCTGAGAAGTAAGGCATTTGCCATGTGCTGTCCATGCTGCGCAAAATCTAGGCTCCTTAGAGTTCCCCTCGATCAATCCCAATCCCAACCGCCTCCACCTCCACCTCCACCACCACAGCTTCCGCCCGAGTAGCTCCCCCCCGGACACCGAGCAATCATCGTTGACTTCTACGTCGACCTTGCCCGTAGCGAGCAGCAGCTTGACGATGTCTTCATGGCTGTTCCCGGCAGCCCAAGATTTTCTCCAAGAGTGGGAGAGACTCAACCAGCGACCGCATGGGGATTCATCAGGCACTACAGGACAGCCTTAAGCTTGACCAGCAGGCTGCAATATCAAGAAGCAGTGCATACTAGGGAGCGAGCTGCTAGTATAGAACGACGACGGGAGAATCAAGCCTTTCCACAAAATCCGCAGACATATAAAACGATCGGGACGGTTTCTTAGAGCTACTCGAGATTCGCCTATCAAATCAAGCCAACATCTCATAATCATATTCTAGAATATTCTATTCCTGGACGACATTATCTGCGGCTTAGACACTCAAGATGAATGGCGACGATTGCTTTAATCTCTAGTCCGCCACATTCCAGGCCAGACCGACATCAGGTCCCGCAAAGTAATTAAACTCTCATCTTTCGACGCAGCGGAACGGCTCAGTGAGACATTCGCTCGAGCCATCACACAGCGGTGGGAAGGATGAGGATCGTTCGTTCAGGGATACAATCAGCTTTAAGGAGCTTCAGGAGTGGCCCAGAGATGCCTAGAGATATCGGATGATGGAGAATAGGAAGAGAAAAGTTGGCTTCAGAGACTGCAAGACTACCAGCACCGAGTTAACAGATAGAGAACTAGCTCTCTTAGCGACGACGCAGTTTCTGTGACAGATATTTATACAGGCAGGCAAAGCAACCGACAAAAGGAGAAGTTTGGGACTGCTGTTGAGTTCCGGTGCCTTGATAATATTTCTCTTGGGGCATTGTGGAAGATATCTCCAGAGGTTGCCTTATATATTAACTCAACTGTCAAGCGAGCAAAGCAGGAATAAACAAAAGGACGCCCTCAAAATGGCTACCTCTTGCGACATTTACATCATACAGAGTTAGATCCCTCATGCTTACCAGCGAGGATCTAGAGATTGATTTAGGATATGGGACAGATTTTAAGATATGAAATAACTGGGATTTGAAACAAGATGTGGGACACAGGACAGGCTTGAAATTAGAAGGACACGCAGTCATGTTGTTCTTTATTTATACAGCGATTGCTCGATAACTTCCTCGGGATATCATAACAACACTCTACTTTGACCCAGGAGTTTCAGTGGGAGGGGCAAAACTAACCGTCGAGGATGGAAAGGGACTGTATAGCTAGGATGCTTGTACCGCCGACTATTTACAGCTAAAGAGCTTAGGGATGCAGCTATCAGCGGTAGTTAACGAAGGCTATTCATTTACAATCACTACCTGCGTATGTTTGTTGCCGAGCGACTTTTTATCTTCGGACTGTCATATAGGTGGCATCATTAATATCCAGTTCCCCCACTCAATTTGTCAATATACTCCTCCAGGGGCTGTACTACGGTCTCGACCACATCCCTCAGAAACTCACTACTTCCTAGGTCTGCAATGGTTGAGAATTTGATTCCGATACACCGTCTTATGGGTTCAGCTAGGCCCTCTTCCAAGGCTGGATCCATCGCAAGCTCTTCATACCAATCATGAGCAGCTGCTTTAGGAGTGCCTTCATCTTGCTTACCACCCGGACAATGAAAGGCCCAGTATGGGCACTTCTCTAAAGGCTCCTGGTAGTGCAGTTCCAGTAGGAATACTCCAAGTGCGAAGAGTGCCATTTCTGCGTGAGATTCCGCGCTCATTGGGTCCTTTTGTAGTGTGGTTGACAGACATCTATGGTTGAAATAAGGACCGAAGATCAGCCCCCGGTCGTTCTTGTCCTTGCCACATTGCATCAGAAAGACGTCCTTCCGGGTCCAACTTCGCGGAACCCAGGCTGATGTCCCGAGGCTGAGGAGTGTAACAGCCATTGAAAGGCCAACTCCTAGGCGAGTAGAGGGATCTTTGGTCGATGTCCAAAATGCCTCCATCGTTTCGTCCTGAGCGCCCAATAGCCGCCTCTGTGACCTCGGTTCGAGATAGAGTCCGATGTCGTGGTGATCTGCCTCTATCGTGCCTAGGAATTTGTCGTTCTGGGGAGCCGTCTGAATGAATCTGCAAATGTTGGTGACGGGAGCGTTTCCTTTCGTTGGAGTAGGGGACACGGCCATCTGGACTCGTTTTTGAGGTCGTGCGGGCTGGGTGACTTGTAACTGTCCCACTTGAATCTGAATAGTTTTTACCTGGGTAGACGAACTTGATGTCGAGCTCTTGAGGGCTGATTTGACAGCCTTGACAGGCTTCGTCAGTTTTCTCCGGCTGTTTGTCCAGATTCTTTCCGGCTTCATGTTTTTGGGATTCGCTGCTGTCGCAATAGCTGAGACTGCGAGTAGTGCGGTGCTGCCGTCTTGTGCTGCCTTGACGAAACCTTTCTTCTGCTCTTGAAAATCGACTTGGCGGTCTAACTCATGAATATGGTTTATGTCGTGTTGCATGTCCCCGTTCACTGACGGTGCCGACCGATCCGCCGCTTCCACTTCCCATCTGACCTGCTTACGTCCCTGAGGGTCGTCGATTAGGAGGTTCAAAGTTGGGCCTGACATACATAGCTTGGACTTTTCCCACTGGGTCGAGAGGCCGCATCTGTGTTGGTCCTTGCAGGAGCAGCGTAATCCGGACTTCAATGCTCGAAAGAGTGCTTGCGACCCTTGTTGAAGTTTTATGAAGGGGCTCACATCCATCAATTTCGAGGAAGTTGGTCTGGAACGTGACATTAATGCGATGCTATTGGTATTGTGCAGAAGTCTCTCTAGTTCCTTGTTTGTTTTGTTGATGCTTTTAAGAATTGTTTTCTTGTTTTGGGAGAAGCTGACACAGAGCCTGAGAATTTCAGATTCGACGGTGCCCGGTGGTGGTAAAGACACCTAATGTCCAGTTAATTACTATGAGATGGGACAATATCAAGAAAGATACTCACCTTCCCATTTTTAATGGGCAGAATCTTGTACAGGTCATTCAGCGAGTCATCTAACTCTCGCAGAAACTGTATGCAAACTGGTAGTGAATATTTGTGGTGTTGTCTGATCTTATTCACGATATCTGGATGATGCCAGAAATTCGATGTCTGCGAATCTTTAAGTGATTGGCGCTCGCGATCGGAGAGGTCAAGTGGCGTCAGGAGCAAGTCGAGGTTCTGGATGAAGAATATTTCCTCGAGTGTGATTGCTCGAATGAATTCCTTGAAATGCCTTCGAAACAGCCATGCTGCTTTGATTCCCTTGAGGTAGGATTCGAGGCCTCTTGCTGCGTCAATCGCTAGAGGGAGTCCGCCCAAAACGACGCCAACGATCTCGAACCCCGACATCGAGATAAGAGGGTCTGTCTGTCGTACCGGGCGGGAAATAGGATGCGATGCGTCGGCCCAGCTGCGCTACGTCGCAGTGTAATTGTGTTTGGAGCCCTCACCCGATAGAAGCATCCGCAATAGATCAGATGAGGGATTAATTTTAGCCGTAAGCGCGGGGTCTGACATAACAAAGGCACAGAAGGTGTGTACGGTCATGTGCTAATGCAAGCTGAACTCAGCCTCACGACGTTATTGGGTAAATTGAACCTTGCCCCTCCTCCAACCTGACGTCAGTTCAATATTCATCTATCAACCCTCTCAAGGGCCTATTTCTTAGAGACGAAAAGGATTGAACTCCTCGGCAGGCCCAAGTGGCGAGCCTTGGCATTGAACTCGACTGCGATACCCTCAAGCGCGATGACTATCTGCAAACTTAGTCAGAGCTGCGAAGAGACATTCGACCTCATCTGCGCAGGCGAGGGAGAGGGATCAAGTTTAGAGAATCCCTCAGAGACCCTCGAACGAGAACAAGGACGATTCAGAGTATGGGCAAGGAACATCGGAGCCCTTCGAGAGCCGACATCTGCAAGCTCCCTGGATTCGCGGCTTCAGGATGCGCCAAAGGTTCAAAAGGCATTGGCTGACGGTTTGGAGGGACTGTTGGAATCTCTCGAGATAATCCTGGGGATTGTAAAAGGAGATCTTCCCAATAGGGCCGGAGCTATCGTGGTGACGGATGCGGGTGCCTCTGTGGGTTCTACGACGGAGCTGAATGAGTTGGCCCTCGATATTCGATCCTCCATAACGGACCTGTTTCGTTACTCTGTGTTCCTTCGACGACAGCAGCCGCGCGGCCGAGAAGCACCAACTGGGGCCGGTTCTCGAGCTCCTGATGCCTCGCTCGATATCAGGCATACGACAGACATGTTCCCAAAGTCAAAAGATCATCCATGGCTTGCAGAACGAATAGGGAGCGCTATTGCACAACGCCGAGAGTACATACGATTCCGCCAGAGACATCAACTAAAGTCGCAACCCAATTCAGAACGAACCCCCAATGCCCTAGGAGCCGACACAGCCTCGACAAAAGCAACTACGTACAAGGAAAGTGGTGAGAGCGTCATGCTCCCCGAAGAATCCCAGGATGTTTCTGGTCACAGCACTCGGACAAACGCAACCTCGTTTTTGACTATCTTTAATAACGACGGCACTGATGAACTCGGCATTTTTGATCTGGAGCGTCTAATTTTCAAGAGCGTTCCACTGAAGTACAGCGAGTATGTCGAGTGCCCGCTTTGTCGAACGATCCAGATTTTCCACAAGAATTCCGACTGGCGGTAAGTCTCTGGCTATTCTCTTATGCGGACATCAGTTAGCTAACTATCAGGTATCAGGCGGCACGTCTTCACTGATCTACAACCTTACGTTTGCACGTTCGAGGAGTGCTCCCCGGGTCTTTTCAGGACGCGCCATGAGTGGTTTATACACGAGATGGATTCACATCGAAGGGAGTGGCATTGCCCGAAATGCCACACCAAAGTCGACTCCCAGGCCAAACTCCGCAGCCACTTCGGGACGAGTCATACAAATGACATTGCCAAATCCCAGATTGAGCCGCTGCTCAACATGTGTGATCGTCCGATTCAACACTTTGCACCTGGTTCCTGCCTACTGTGTGACTCGTGGGATCCTGAGCCAAATACAGCCTCAAACTCTCAGGACTTTTGCAAACATCTTGCACAACACCTCCAGCAGCTTGCATTGACCGCTATACCTCTCAATATTGAGGGTCTAGAGATCAAAGAAGAAGAGAAGGTAGAAGAGGAAGTAGAAGGGGAAGGAGTTGAGGAGCGCAACTCGGGGGAAGAGGGAGGAACGTCGAAAGAAAAAGAGGACAATACTCAAGGAGATTCCTTGGACTTCCGGCCGCCCCCAGTCGTCGAGCGCATCCCCGGAGGTCCAAAGTTCCCGAAATATCGTGCTATCCCAATTCCGAATCCCCGTCGGCCCCCAGTCGTCGAGCGCATCCACGGAGGTCCAAAGTTCCCGAAATATCGTGCTATCCCAATTCCGAATCCCCGTCGGCCCCCAGTCGTCGAGCGCATCCACGGAGGTCCAAAGTTCCCGAAATATCGTGCTATCCCAATTCCGAATCCCCGTCGGCCCCCAGTCGTCGAGCGCATCCACGGAGGTCCAAAGTTCCCGAAATATCGTGCTATCCCAATTCCGAATCCCCGTCGGCCCCCAGTCGTCGAGCGCATCCCCGGAGGTCCAAAGTTCCCGACATATCGTGCTATCCCAATTCCGAATCCCCGTCCACCAAAACCTCTCAATATTGAGGATCTAGAGATCAAAGGAGAAGAGAAGGTAGAAGAGGAAGTAGAAGGGGAAGGAGTTGAGGAGCGCAACTCGGGGGAAGAGGGAGGAACGTCGAAAGAAAAAGAGGACAATACTCAAGGAGATTCCTTGGACTTCCGGCCGCCCCCAGTTGTCGAGCGCATCCCCGGAGGTTCAAGGTCCCCGACATATCGTGCTATTCCAATTCCGAATCCCCGTCCGCCAAAACTTGTACATCCACGTCAAAAACAGACTTGACGGCGGCGAGAGAGCGGAAGATAGCAGCGGGGACGATCAATTAGATACAGGTCCTAGCATAAATGTCGATGAATGATGGCATCCAGTGCAAGGAGTAAAGTAGGGTTCCGTTGCTGGCGGAAAACACTAACATGTGCCGTCCTTGACCCCGTTGGGGTTGTCTCTTAAGAGATCTGAGGTTCTCTGACGGGAGAGAAAGGCTTTATCGTCGGCTGTCAGAGAGTTTGCTTTGAATAAAGGCACCAAGCCATTGTAAATTTAACGGGTCAACAATGTAATTGGGCAATTTTTTCAAGGAAATGATGAAGACTAGGGAGAGATGACAGTATGTGACGGAATAGGGCTGAGAACGGCATAATGGCGATGCTCCGAGCATGGACTAGCGCAGGTTTTTCTTATATTTATGACTGCTTCTGTATCTAGACTTCCTCTCCTCCTTTCTTACCGAATAGGCCACGTTTTGCTCCTTTTAATGCCTCGATATCAGTCAGCATAAATGGATGCATAAATTTTATTTCACCTAGGATCATCCCTAAAATGGCAGAATTTATTTATTTCTATGAATTGAACGTATAGGCACTTGCGCTCTAATTGACCCACTTGCAGAGCCTGCTGGCTGAGGTTGGTAGTCAGGCTGGGCGCGGGAAAAAAAGTGGCGCAGGAAAAAAGAAGTGGCGCAGGAAAAAAAGGTGGCGCAGGAAAAAAGAAGTGGCGCAGGAAAAAAAAAGTGGCGCAGGGAAAAACAAAGTGGCACGGGGATCCTGGTGAAGAGGTTGTGGTGCAGGCGTTGAGCACGGACCGCTTGGTGGTCCGAGCTCATCAAGGTGGGCGCGGAAGAGGGCACGGAAGAAAGAACCTTTCGGAACAAGTTCCTCAAGGCACAGGCCTGAGAAGCAAAGCGCTTGCCTTGTGAAAGTGGAATAAAGAGCCTGGAGAAGAGCATGGTCGGCCAGTTGTATTTCCCCGACGAACACAAGGAACCTGACGAGCAACACACTTTGTGTCTCCGACGTCTCCTTCGATAATGGGAATGACATCCGTTGTAACCTGACCCTCTTTAGACGCGTGCGCATCAATAAGAAAATGGAAATCATGAAGACAGAGCTCAAGTTCGAGTTCACCAAGCTTAGCGTGTGGCTAGCGGGCCTCCCTCTTCCGGCTCGGTCTCTGCACAGACAAAAGATGCTAGGGAGAGATATTGTGATAACAGAGCAGTCGGACCTGCATCTCACTTGGAGAGAGTCGGCCATGTTTCTGAAACCGCTCTGGAAGCCACTACTCGATTACGACTTCTGGAAAACGGAACTCTGCAATAGCGATCTTCAGATCTACAAAAGTATAGCTGGCCATGGCCGGCGAAGTAGAACACCCTGCATGCCTGTAAGGCCGATGAGACGTCGGTCTTATAAGCTCACAATAATGGCAGAATCAATGGTCCTTATATCTCTCTGTGTGCGTCTTTCGCAAAATCCATTTGAAGTCGGAAAGAGATAACCGAACACCACTCAGTTATCGTGGTCCTCTCGCGACTCCAAGCCTCGATCCCGTATGAAAACTGTACAGAGGAGGCATATCGCCATCAGTGGCACCTGGAGTATGAAAACACCACGGCTGGCTGCCATGTATGCATCCAACACTGCAGGAACATGTTTGACCGACTCCGGCAGCGCATAAGTAGAGTCGGATACGTACTTATATTCCTGGGGCAGCGTAGCTCGCAGCCGAGCCTGAAGGACTGCTGCTGAGACCGCAAGGCCACACGCACCGCCGGCACTACGAAAAAAGTTTCGATTCGAAATGATGACAGCTCGACGATACTTGGGAGAGTGGGCTTGCAATGCCACAAGGGTGGGCTGCATGATAGAACCTACCCCCGTTCCAATGAGAAGCAGGATAATAATAATTATACCCGGTCTGGTAGCTCGGTTAAATACCAAGGCTAAGCCAGCTCCTCTTTATCCTAGGTTAGAACGAGAACCCAGATGTTTTCGTGATGTTGACTTACAAGGTCCAAATACCAAACCCAAAGACAATGACCTCGCCGTACTGTTTTCGACGAGAGATGTACTGACCAGATAGAATCGAAATCAGGCTCTGTGCGATGACCAGAGGTATGTAAACGATAGCTGAGGTCATTACGGAGAACTGGTGAGGATTCTGTAGGTATAATGGGATATAATACAAGTACGCTTGGTAGACGGAGCCAAACAGGAAACTTTGTAGGAACATCACCACGACCACAGAGTTGTTGAATATTTCCACTGCATGCGAAATCAGCAACAACAAAGCCAGTAACGAGGGTTCATCCACTGACCTGGCATCATAGGAAGCTTTGCTAGCTTCCACTCCCAGGCAATAAATGATAGGAAAGTAACGAAGCCGATAGCAAGCATACTTATCACCATGGGCGAGTCCCAGGAAAAGTACGCACCACCTGCTCATTTAGTCTCACATATGCTGTTGTGAAAGGGAAGGAATGTGACAGACCTCCAGTGATTGGGATGAGCAGAAGAATAACTCCTGTCGACGACACCAACGAGCCTATCCAATCCACCTGCCTCAGGCTCTCTTCAAAGCTTGCCGTCGGAGGCTTGCTGGGAAGGTAGAAATACGTCAAGCAAGCTGTCATGGCTCCAAGTGGCGAGAGCATATAGAAGAAGGCCCTCCAAGACGTTCTTTGAATCAAAGCCGCAGCCAAGAAAGGTCCGACAGCGTTACCTAGTCCGACCATGGCACCATTAATGCCCTGATACTTGCCTCGTTGCTCCAGCGTGACAATATCCGACACGATAATATTTGTGAGGCTGACAATGCCTCCGCCGCCGATACCGGCGATGGCACGGCAGATGTAGAACATGACGGCGGTCTGCGATAACGCACAGAGCAAATCGCCAATCGATAGCATCAGAATAGCAGCGATGAAGATAGTCTTGCGCCCAAAGATGTCAGACAACCGGCCATATAGCATCTGAAATGTTGTGTTGGCTAAAAGGCTTGCGGTACCAGCCCACGAGATCGTTGCTTCTGCGTTAAGATCTGTAGCTATGGTGGGGAGGGTGACGGCGATCCCATTTTGGTCAATGGCGACAATGAGCATATTGATAGAGAGCGTAGCGAAGGCCAGGATAAGTTGTCGTCGCGGCAGCAAATTGGCCTGATCATGCAAGGCAAATTCAGCCCTTCGGACTTCTTGGCGAGTCATGGTTGCGGGTGTAGGACAAAACGGCCAGATTCCACCTGACGGGAACAAGCCGTATTATAATTAAAAATTCCGTTACTATGACTCATCTATATTCCGTCTTCGCAGACTGGTTCGGAGAATGGCCGATGGCTTGTGGTCGTCCGGATCTTCGCCGCCTTTCCAATGGCCGGAAGACGCGGCATCTTGCCGAAACTCACAGGTGGGTTGACTAGGTTGTCGGATTATTTCCGATGGGACAAAGAGGCAGCATAATTATTATATGGTAATTTCCCGTATCACCTGACGGATCTTTGAAAAGCTCCCCTCCCTTATTATCTTATCTTCTTATTCGACGAAAGCAGCGGCGACCCCGACGAAAAGGAGACGCGTATAGAAGCAGGAGAGCGGTAGATGTAGGGCAGGGTTCAGGTTACGTAGGGGCACCAGTAAAGGGATTGCGCTCATTATGGCTTTTCGATGTCGTGCTCTTTTAAAGTGGTGTGCTGTTTGGCAGTAGTTTAATGTCGCAGGCCAGGCCTAATTAACGAGCCCTCAGGAAACAGCTATACTTGTACTTAGTAATCCAGCTGCGTGCTCCAAGTAAAACCTGTAGGCTAGAATACCCCACACTTTAGACAACAATCAATCAGTGTTGGAGATCACAAGTGTGAGGCGACCAAGTCGGTGGCAAAGGTGTGGAAGAAGGTGGAACATTCCACAGAGATCGTGCCTGTACATAAATAGTAGTTCTCCTACTATTTATTTAGAATGAATCAAGCAACTCGAATCTTCTCATTTCAACAATCAGCACACTGCTGCTGCTCATCATATTCACGTTAACCCTTTAAGCACGCTCAGTACGACATTTAACCGGATGAGCTCAGCGCCGAACGGGCCGACAAGGCCTAGATGAGCGGCCCGATCAGCGTGGCGCAAGAATTTTTCGGTTGCGGCTTTTTTTTTTTTTGGTTGAGGCTTAGCAAAGTGGCTGCCGTAAAAAGAATTTGTGGCGTAAAGGTGGCGCAGCGATCCTGGTGAATTAGGAGGCGCGAGGGTCTGTGGTGCAGCTCGCACGGACCACTTAGTGGCCTGAGCTTACGAAGGACGGCGCGGAAGAAAGAACCTTTCGTTCCGAAAGGCATTTTTGGACCGCCAGGAGGGCACGGAAGGAAGAACCTTTCGGAACAAGTTCATCAAGGCAAAGAAGCTTTCGTTCCTCAAGGCAAAGGGCGTCATGTCTTCCCTCTGCTCCCTGTGACCCGCGGAGCCGGCAGACCTGCTCGTTCATCGCGTGCAGTGTCCGCGCTCCGAGCATGCTCACCTCATCAATGACTAGCAGGTCCTTGTCCTGCCAGTCCATTCGCGACTGACCGTGGACGAATCTTTCCGCCTGTTTCGGCAGCCGGACACCGTTCTCCTTAGACCAGTGCTCGTTGCCGCTGGGCTTCTCTGTCCCGGCTTGGGCATCAACATCACCAGATTTGGCAGGCGGCAGGATGCTGATGGTATTGAGACATAGGGGGGCGCAGTATCAAGCCAATGGGTGGTAGCCACAACGGTAGCCTGCGGCGTGGTGTTGTGTGTTGGTGGCATGTATCAGCTGCCTGCTTAGGCAGCAAGGAGATAAAACCGGTGCGCCTAACACCCCGCACCCGCAGACTCGGGCGCGGGACGGGTCACTCTAACCCCTGTGGTGGTCAATCGAAGGCGAACGGAGACTGTGGTCATTGGAGACCTTGATAGGTGCCATGTTGTATGCCTTCACAAACGCACAGAGCCAAAGTGGAGGCCTCCCAACTCGGGACTCCCTGTGGAAATCACAAAGTGGGCACAATCCAAGGGCTGTTAAGTAGGCACGATAACGCAGCAGAAGGGACGCTGCGACGACCGAAACGTTCTCAGAGCCAGAAAAGAAAGCCCGGCTACTCAAGGAGACGTTCTTTCCCAGAGTCTTCCTTCAAATAGTTTCCTACTCCCTTGCTTGAATTCCAGCATTCGTTGATGAACAGTCTGCAAGATGTCTCAATCGAGGCCATCGTATTTATCGCGACACATCGGGACACCCAACACTCTCTATCCACATGTTCATCTGTCGAAAATTCATGCATCATGCCGAAGGCCGAGATAGTTCACTGAGATGTACGCTGTCCCAATTCGACGAGGACTGTACCAAAGCTCCCGACATGATTAGATCAGATGAGCCGAAATTTGCCGACCACATGAATCAAATCGAGACAAGGCGTGGCTCAACCAGATCCCTTTTTATTCTGGAGGGACTGTCGGCTTCCTGGATAGAAAAGCTTGGTTCCATATTTGACATCGACCCGGTATTCTTCGATTGGCAACTGCGGACCCTTGAGCTCCCACCAACATGGCTGAAATATGAGGTGATGAGACTGCCGTCCATGCGCAAGTCCGACCTCCACTTGGGCTTAGTCTATCTCGAGGTTCTCGAGTTTCCGGACAATCCTCCACGATCATCTTGGTATCTTGACGTTGGGCCCGGCATCGCTCGGCGAGTGTTCATGCAAAACACGAGGCAGGGACCGGTCGGTCTGGTTGTTCATCCTGTATCCCAATGGCTCCGCGAATATCCTGATGGATGCTGGGAATGTCAGTGTAGAGGACTTCGTCACTGGGGATCCCAAATTGGAATATTATATCGAAAACGATATTGCTCTGTTGCTAATCCGGAAATAGGCCGGGAGGGACTGGCTAGATTTAAAGCAGGGTTTTATTAAGACTTTTGAATTCATAAAGAATGCTGGCTTGGTGGATTGATTGCAAAGGGCACCGCCATGACAGGCGAAATGATGGCAATTGGCGTTATAGAAGCGCTAATATTTTATAGCTTAGTTAAATAGTGCACCAACCATGATGCCCAAGCTAACGGAGAGCAAAGACGAGAGGACAATAGCCTAGAATAGGCGAGACTCCTCCTTATCCCCCCGGCTTGGAGTGTGTGTCGCGAATCAGTAAGCTCTCTTACAGTTCATCCACAACCTCATCCGCGGCACTGAGGGCTACTGTCTTAATAGCAAGCCATTGGATCTTAATGAGACGGTGTTTCCTATGTGCATCTGCTCGCTTAACCTTGAGCGTGAGGACATAACCAGACTCCATTGGCCGGCTAAAAAGGCATAGTGGGCAATCAGATTCTACGTACAACAATACATGATGAATTTCGTGATCAAATTACGCAAATGGGTTTGAAGAGAGCGTTACTATTGGTTGGCGCACTAAAACATACAAGTAACCACCTCGGATGTCCCGGAAATGCAGAGTAGATGGCCGATCAGTGACATGCATTCATGATAAATGGCCTGAATACCAGAGCGGACGGCTCAGGTCTCCAAATTTGATCCTGCATAACAGGCCAGGGTCAAATACGAGCTGAAGTGGTCCTAAACACTATTGCCTGGCCGCATACGGGCCACAAGGTTGACAAAGGTTAAGTTGTATACCAATACACATAAGTAGAGATACATGTGGCAAGGCCATTCTTGGTATGTGAGCTGCAGTATCTCTACTTATGCCTATTTCTTTTCCGCCGTGGAGAATACTGGCGATCAGTGCGGAAGCATACCTTGTTATCCTTGTGGCCTGTAGAGACAACCTTTGTTCACGCGTTGGACTATTAGCATGGCGTCCGCAGTCTGCAGTCTGCAAGCCGCTTTCTGCAACCCGGGGTGCATTGAACCATAGATATCATTCAAACCCATGTCTAGACCCTGAAGCACAACCCATTGAAGCGGGTCGTATGACTGCGGAGACTCTTGCTCCAGCTTTCCTCGGACAGACTAGATCATCCGAAAACGGATTCAGCTCTGCTGCAGCCAATATTTCTGCAGATCAATGCCTAAAATTTGCTCTCGCATTTACTGGATAAGCCTACGGTCCATGAGCGGACGCCACGAAAGGATTATGGCGTTGAGTAGACAGCTGAGTATGCGGGGAGTGTACCGCATTAACAATTGAACAAGATGTGTTCAAGACGGGCAAGCAATGCTGGCATATAATGCTAGGATTTGTCAGTTTGAGCTATAAGAACCCGGCTTTTTATCATAGAATCCTAAACCAAGCTACATAACAGCAGCTCCAAACTTCTCTTCCTCCTTCTCTTCCTTTTCTACTCTCCTCGTCAACGCCCCGATCATTCTATCTCTATCCCCTTCCATCTTCCCTCGACAATGGCTGCCTCCGACAAACGTCTCGCCGACATTGACCGGTCGAAGACTGAGCCCATCAACTTCGATGACTCCAAGCTAGGAAAGGTGAAGCCTCCGCTTGCATCAGCCGAGGGCTTTGGCCTCTCGTCCAGCGAGCTGCGGAATATCTTCGGCATGAGACCAAGTTCTTTCGGTAGCCTCCCGAGACGCATCGTCATCCCCGATCTCAAGGCTTCGGCCAAGGCCGATAGGCACTCGATGACGGGGTACCTGTACATCGTCGAACCTGTAGCTTGGGTGCCTCGCGTCCATCACGGCACTACAATCCCTCTGTCTGTCTTCAAGAAGCCGAATATCAAGAAGGAGCAACCTATTCTCGAGTCGGCCCTCAACAAGCCCGGCGTGGCTGCCCAGTTGATCACCAATACTGCCGGCGCCTATATCGGGACCAAGGCTGTATCTCTCACAAACAATCCTATTTACTCGACGGCGACTAAGGCTGGGCTTAAGATCTAAGATAACCTCTTTCTATTCCCAATCTACTAACTCACCGTATTCCCCATACTGCATATCCGCGCCCTCAAGTAACAGCATATCAACTTGCAGATAAATACAGCTAAGAAGCTCATCTAGACTAATACCAAGAAGCCTGGCTACTGGGATAAGATGATTATTACTGCAAAGCGCCTCTTATCTGCGGTAGGCAGTCTACAGCTCCACCTGCTTCCCCTCGAGGGCCCAGAGGACCTATCCAAGCTGCTCTTTATCCTGCCGGTGCCTCGCCTACTCAATTCCGGCAAGCTCGAAGCCGTAACGCTTGTGAGCCGATCCAGCTGGCCCGACTGGTACTTATATAAAGAGAACGCCTGGGTGAACGCTCCGGCCGATAAGTTCCTCATGGTCGCGGCGCCACAGAATCAGACGGCTTTCCAGGCTGTGACAATATGGGCACCATTGGTAAGTGTAATATGCTCCTTATCCTTCAGCAGCTTGCTATAAATTTATATGTACTAATATCTTAGTGAAGATTGAACCCGATGATTATTGTGGCACTAACGGCCAAGAGTGGAATGGCAACAAGTACACCAACAACACGGGCATCAACACCAGCACCAATACCTCTCAGTCCACCAAACCTCAGCCCACCATACAGACGGATACCAACAAGAACGCAGGAGTCCCCAAAACAAACGCCAACACCAACACCAACGCCAATACTAATAACAACATCAACGCCAATGACAATAGTCTCGAGCCTTCCAAGCAGAAGGTAGGACCTGTTTTTGGCGGCACCGGCGAAGACACGAAGCCCTCAAACAAGCCTGAAGCCGCTGTCAATCCACTACCTAACACAAGCAACACCAACACCAACATCAACACCAACAACTCCAAGCCTCAAAATGACAAGCCTGAGGCTATTACCGACTCCATCCCCAAGACTACTCCCGCAGTCAACTCTGGCTTTGAGTCCAAGCCCTGTGACACTACTAAGGACAAGCCCCTTGATGGCAAGGCAGTCCCTACCAACACGAACACGAACACCAACATCAACGGCTCCAAGCCTGAAGGTTCAACTCCTATCAAAAACGACCTGTCAAAGACCAACCCCACATCCAAAACTACTCCCGCAGTCACCAATCCTGTCTCTGACTCCAAACCCCGCGACAACGAGAAAGGCAAGCCTACTGACGGCACGGCCGTCCTTCCCAACGCGAACACTAACACCAATGCCAACACCAACAACCCCATCCCTCCAAAGTCCAAGCCCGACACGGTCGTTGAAAGCATCCCCAAGACTACTCCCACAGTCATCAACCCTGGCTCTGACAACAAGCCCTATGATACTACTCAAGGCAAACCTGTAAATGGCAGGCCCATCCCCGCCAGCACTGACGCTAACATACACGACAATAAGCCCATTCCTAACACAAATACAAACACCAACACCAACGTCAACGGTCCTAAGCCTGAAGATCTGAATACTATCCACAGGGACCTGCCAAAGACCAATCCCACGCCCAAGACTCTGCAGACAGATGTGAACCCTATTTCTGGCTCTCAGAACTGCGGCAATGGTCAAGACAAGCCCGTCAACAATAAGCCTGCTAGTGGCAAACCCGTTCCTACCAACACAAACACAAACACAAACATCAATGACACGCCTACCAAAGGCAAGCCTGACGGCGACAAGCCTGTAGAGAGCAAACCTGTCAATGATCGGCCCATCCCTGCCAACACAAACACAAACACCAATGTCAATGCCAAGCCCGTTCCCACCAACACAAACACCAATACCAACATCAACGGTTCTAAGCCTGAGGGTTCGACTCCTATCAAGCAAGACCTGCCAAAGACCACGACCGGGATTCTCCCCCCTCCAACCACCACCAACGCCAATGTGAACAACAACACGAACACAAACCTGAGCAGCAATCTTACCCCCCATTCGTGGCCTTTCCACGGGACTATCATCCTGCGCTGTCCTTGCTGCCCTCCTGATACTGCAACCATAACCATTAGTCCCCCGGCCCCCAAGCTAGTCTGACTGCCTCTCTGTCCTTCCGGCCTCTATTGCCCCTCCGATCTTGACTACCCCTCCTGGCCCTCTGAGTCCGACTGCCCGACGCCTGCCGATTCCTGTTTGGATTGTTTCCTTCGTTGCGTGGAATATTTAATGTTGAAAATGTCTCCATACCTTGCTAAGTCGATTCCTTTTGTTTCCTGGATGTCAAGAAAGGGAAAGTCTATCACACGCAGATCGCGGCTGTACCTAGGAGATTTATTTACTTGACATGTTTGTATTCTACAACACAGAGCTTAGTCACCATCCCTCATCCATATTTTCACCACACCTAAAGGCATGCATTATCAAGAAGATGTAAATACCGGCATCAGACCGCCAGATGAGAGCATTCTTGGTGTGAAAGACGCCGTGTTTTGCTATTCTTGACACCAATTAACAATCACCCTAATACGGCCGAGGTGACAGACCCAGTGTTGTGAGGGAGCTCAATTTGCGCGTTGAAAGCCGCGGATCGTCCTGCCTTGACAGTAATCTGAGCCTTGCCATCCACAGCTAATTCCACAACGGTTGAATGCCCTTGCGTTGCTCTGCAGTGGCGGGAACCTTGACCTGCCCATGGCTGACATTGTATGACGTTTCAGGAGGTGGTATCTTTCTTTTCTCAACCCAAGCACTAGGGAATCCACGTTCAACGATGTACGGGGAGTCTTTCAGCCTACATCCTCCCAAAAAGAGACAAATCAATTCATCCGAAACGCTCTTACAGGTCGGAGCATCGGCAGATAAAACCACTAGAATATTTCATTCATCGCTTGCCATCACGAACATGCAAGAGTGTATTTCAGATGCTAGAATATCAGAGCCTTAAGAGCCTCGCCAATCAAGTCTACACATTGCTAATCTAAGAAGGACAGGTAGTGGGCATAGAACCAGACTGCAGAAATTCAACCGCTGTAGGACTACTACCCCCTAGGGCGATATCGAATGTCGTGAATTGGTCGAAGACTTTAGCCTTGGCTTGATAAGCAACCCATCCATTTGACCTTTTCCCGGTAGCCTTAAATTGAAAAACCTCGGTCTTCAACTGGGGAACGGCGACGCCCTGTCTTGGCACCTTGTGGACAACTCGCAAAGTCAAAGGGCCCGATGCGTAGCTGTCGCGAACCATAGCTGTAACGATCATGGGCGCGGCACCGTTAGCCAACGCATCGCTCTTGAGACACGACTGAGAAAGCTGATAAAGGATAGTATCGTCCACCTTGTATCCTCCAGTCTTCTGATTATCATGAGTCTTGGTAAACTTAGTCGACGGCACTGTCTCCTGTACCCAGAATTTGCTAATGCCGCTCTTGCCATTGATTGTGGTATCGAAGTCAAAGGAAACAAACTGGTCAGCGATGCCACTGCTAAGGCCTAGTTGGAAGTTGGCGCGCTTGGCGGGCACAACCACCTTGCCCTTGCCATTTCGATCAGCATACACCAGCTTGACGGCAAGGTCATCTGGGTTTCGGCCGCTGCCCTTCGTGATCCTCATCCGAATGGTGCCCTGGAAATGAAGGTTGCCCTTGCTGTTGAGAGATAGGTCGTCGATATAAGGCTTAACGTCGTAGGCGTCGATGACTCTGGTTAGCTTCACCTTCCTCGGCACAGTGTCGATCATGCGGGTGAAGACATCAGCACAAATGGAGTTGAAGCCCGCCTTAGTTGCCAGCTTTTTCATCGTGGCGTGATCTGAAGAGAAGATGCGCTTATCAGAATTCAACGTATTGTTAGACGCAACAACCAAGGGGTTCTTGGTCTTGCCGCTCAGGAACTCGGTGACAACGCCGTTGTGGAAACTTGAAACGTCTTTCTGGAACGGCACTGATATCTCATTGTCAGGATCCACGTGTATTCCAGTGATATCTGGGAAGTCGACACTATGGACGCCACCCAGAGCATGTCCACAAGCAACCATAGCTGTCATGTCCTGCTTGGAGAAGCCGGCCTGGATGAAGGCTGCGAGTGTGTCGGCCAGATTGGTCTGAGGTTCTGGCACGCCTGGAGGCCCTGCCTTATTCGCATCAATACGACCCGCTCGGAATGGGATCTTGGGTCCGTCACACGCCCCAGTCGCCACGACGACGCCCAGAGCCACAAGATCCGAAGCTGAGGCGCGCGGATTGTGGAAGCCACTGAAGAAACCGAACGTATTGTTGAAGGCACTGCCAGGGTTCTCAGGCCGGTCAAGTTCCCAGAAGATGGACGCGTCGATTCCGCCTGTGCCGGCTTTGGCGTTATGTGTGACTGCGTCGTGGAACGCGGTCCGAATCCATTCAGCTGAGTTCTGGCGTCCCGGAATGTTAGTGCCGAAGGCACAGGTGGTGATGGCTGTAGACAATTAGCAATCTATCATTTTGGTCAATAGTGCCATTAAACAGTCACCATCGGCGAAACCGCGTCTCCTGAATCCTCCAATCATGGTATAGAGGTCCTCAACCTCGTCCCATTTCGACGGCCAGACTAGCTGTGAAGCAGCAACAAAGGGAGCGAAAGCAAAGACGACTGTGAGGTACCTCATGATGGGTAAAATCAAATGATGGCAAGACGTCTACGTAAGAGATGTAAAACAATGCCAAGAGCCATCTTCGAATTGGATAGGGGTGAGCGAGGGCTGATATTCAATTCAGACTTTTGGTTCTTCTATGAGCTCTGGGCCATATTCGCAAAATACGAGAATCATCTCGTGTTGTTAGTGTGAAAATCATCTCGTATTGCGACGGGTGTCGGAACTTTTGCACATGCACTAGACTACAAAGAGGGGTCAACGATTTGAAATTTTGCCGGGCCAGTAGCAATTGACGTATTGCAAGCCTGTGATTACAAGTTTGAGACACCAAGCAGGGGCGACAAGGATCCTTTAGTAGACGCGGTGGGTTAGAATGGAAGTTCTAAGACGCCGGGATTCCCGTTAAGGCTCTGGGGGAGTGCTGAGAATAAGTCCAGTGAAACTAATTTTGGACGCCCATCTTTGCCGAGCATGAGGATCCTACGTGGTGCCCTTATAATTACCGCCGGGATTCGAGGCAATGCGGAAGCTTGATTAAGGACAGCCTTTCCTAATTAGGTATCTGGAATATACACAAAGCAAAATAACTAACTAAGCGCACCAACGGAAGCTAGCAACATCACTACCAATTCCCCACGAGTATCACAAGGCGTATGAACACATCCAAATACAGGCAATTGAAAGATTAGATGGAGCTCAGTTTCTAGAATCCCGGATAGATAGCCAGGATGATGGGGACTAATGGGCGGTCAGATCAACTCCACAGCACGATACACGATAGGGGTGAAACAAACTCAAAGATGCATGAGGCACCACACCCTCTGCCCAATAGTCAACAAGGACCACGAAGAACTCAACCTCCAGCGGAAACAAGGCAGTCCAGACCGAAAATTGGTTAGAGTCTAGTCATCAAGGGCTGGAGATGCAACGCCAAAACCAACCAAGCCACTCTACAAACCTTACGCCAAAGGCCAAAGCCAGGTAGACCCATCGTCCCGAAAGGTCGATGTAGTTTCCAGAAAAGGAAACGCGATCGCCATCTTATTCGGTGTTTGAAGATTGATCCAGACGCCGCTGCACATATGCACACCCACTTGACGATATCTCGACTACCCTCGATCCTATGTCTTGCAACCACCAATACGCCTTCAGGGCGATTGACCTTCCTAGATCAGCATCAAGAGCTGCCGTGAGTGAGAGACCGCGACTGTTGGGTCACCGACCACTTTGACACACTTGTTAGTTACTCCATGCTCAGCATTAAGAACCGGAACTGGTACAGACGGAGAAGTCTAGGCTCACCCATCTGTATCTGCATCTACGAGGTACCATGCCCCGAGCCAAACGCGGCAAATTGCCTTACTACTCTTGGCCCAACCACACGGCCTTGTTGTTTGTTAGAATCCATCATTTATTTGTTAGAATCCATCATGGACTGGAATGCCGAGTGTCGAGGTGACTTGCAAAAACAGCTACATGGTCTTGTCTCTGGTCAACTCGGTTAAAACAGATACTGCTTTCATGGAGCTTCCATTCCCACGCTCAAGCAGAGAGTAATTGTACATAGTTAGATGATAGCCTGATAGGTCGGCTGCAAGCGCATAGTATGTGGGTTTGTCAATCAATAGTGCTCAATAGCCTCATCGCTAGTGCCATAGCTCAATCGTATCAGAGGTCGGCGGATGCTCTACCAATCCACTTCAGGCCACTCCGTCTTGCAACTAGACGAAACAAGTTTACCGCGCATGATGGATGCGTGGGGTCTCTCATGCCCTCGGCCAATTGGGGTTATCCATCTTGGCCACCTCAGCTTCGTATCCATGTTGTTCCGCTGTCTGGTGTGATTGAAGACAATGCAGTCTTTCCGCTCTTTGCCTACATGGATCTACTCTTGATTTAATCATACATCTTGTATCCTTTCCTATACCTAGGGCATCACAGAATCACCATTTTATTTCCGGGCCCAAGTTGTGCCCTTAGTCCTCCGCGCGCATATTCCTACCGTCGAGAATTGATCAGCGATACGGCCTCCCCTACACTAGCACTTCTTCAGGCTATCGTGGCAACGCCGACGCTAGATGGTAAAATTGCCGCAGTATCGTCGGGCAGTTAGAGCTTATCTGTCCTGGACGGCAAGAAAAGCCACGAGGGCCACAACAGGACGGACATGTTTGAACTCCAGCCGCATTCATGTCACGATTGTGGCTCAGTGACCGGCGTTTCAGCCTACCTCGCCGATCTCCTGGACTTTCTCAATGCCTGCATCACGAAGCCGGATGATGATCCCCGGATGCGTCAAACAGCTCTGATGGCTCTCACAGCGCAACGTCCTGATCTTGATGCTCCTGGGCTCTGTTGCGCCGATTCCAACGCTCTGGTGCCCTATATTGTCACTGTCAATGAGACGCTGGAAGCCTTTATCGCCGCTCGTATTAGCAAGAAACTCGACATAGGCGGAAGCGGATCCTGTGGTGATCTTGTCGAAGAAGAAGAGCACAGTGGAAACAAGCAAACTCGGGGCGACGTTAGCCGGCATATCTTCAGTGGTCCTCTTGCCGAGCAGGTGTTTCCCTTTGACGTGTTTCCATTCAACCAGGCACGAGATTCCATCAAGACCTACCTATCTGCCTTCGGCTTGACACCACTAGATGTCTTGCAGACGTTCCGGTCACCTGGGGCTGTACTGGGCCAATTCTCCGATCTGAAACCGCTGGTAGCAACATCGCCCTTAGAAAAGGAGGATATGCTTGAAGCAGCCACATGGGTCTGCGATCGAGCAGTTGTGGCCGAGTTGCTTGGGCTAGACCCTCTGGGCTTTGCCGCTATCACAGGAGAGACCATTTACCCCATCTCTTTTCTCGACAAAGCAGTCGCTCTCGGGGAGGCGGGCGGCGACAGCGGCGCAGCGCGTAATGCTCATTGGATTCCGCCTGTACATACAAGCTGGGGCTATGCATCTTCCGAGGCGATGCTGGATGACAAAAACGAAGAGACTGGAGGCCTTGGCTTCATCCGCACGCAATTCCTTCCTCGGTCTGGCTTGTCGTTTCAGGAACTCAACGACCTCGTGAACGGACTCTATTTCAAGCGACGTCTTGTCATTACTAACTCAGACTCGACCAGACCTGTCGCTGGAGATCTTTCGGAAATGCGGCTGTGCTCTTTCAACACTGAAGAAGCCACAGCGCCAGATACAGATCTGGAAAAATCCAGCTTCGTTGGGCGATTGACCAAAGAACTCTGCCAGGAGCTCCAGAGCTTCATCCGCCTCAAGAAGGCGCTAGGGTGGTCAATAATTGACCTGGACATCGCCATATCGGCCCTCACCGAAAACCAGGTTGCCAACAGCCCATCGCTTGCCCCTCGTTGTCCGGGAATCTCTGTGCGGCTTCTTGAGAGTCTTGCCAATACCGTTAGACTGAGCCGACTAGTACAAGTGCCAGTAGTACAACTTCTGCCATTGTGGTCGACCATCGATTTCCATGGCAAGACCTCACTCTACCACCAGTTGTTCGTGGGACCTGGGCGCATCCTACTCCATGACCAGTTCTTCAAACCAGACGAGGGTCCTCCCCTAGCGCGTGCAGGGACAATCCAGCACCACTCTTCTACTTTGCAGGCTGCACTCAACCTAAATCACAACGACTTCGACAGCTTGTTACTCGCAGCAGGGATTGAAGGCAGCGAAAGGCTGACCATAGATAGCCTGTCTTGCATTTATCGCCATTCACGAATGTGTGAACTTCTCGAAGTCCATCCGACTGAGTACCTGGATGTCAAGAGATTATTCCCTAGCAACACAGATATGTTCCAGGATCCAAAGACGACCTTTGGCGTTGCGAACAGTTGGCGACGACTAACACGAAATGATTGGACCTCGTCCGAGATCCTCGCAACTCTTCGGTTCAACTCTACTAGCACCACCATGGTTGCAGAAGACCATATCGGTACTGTGGCCGCAGCCTCAGAAAGCACTATCTTACACGCCAAGTTGATCAACAAATTGCGTCTTAGTGAAGAGGAGTTGAAGCTCTTTACGGATTCAGGCATCACCCTGAAGGCAAATCTCAATGCCCTCGATCTAGCTGGTCTCATAAAGCTAGAGGGCTATAGGGATCTCCGGGAAAAGACAGCCGCAGAACATAATGCTCTCGTCAATTTCTTTGAATGGGCTGCTAAGTGCACCAACGCAGACGGGTTAGCTGAGAAGCTCGCAGACGCGACAGGCTGGCCCGTTGCCCAGGTCTCCTCAGCCCTGGAAATCAGATACCCGGGTCTGAGCAGAAAAAAGATGGCTCAATATCTTTGTGATATCACCGAGCTCGCGTCTCTTGCCGATATCATGGACATGTCAAAGCGCATACACATGGTTTCAGAGAGTCCTCTCTCGCGGCCCATCTCGGTACTGTTCCAAATTGCTGTTCCGACGCCTCCCGGCCGGATAGATGACGATTTCACCAATGCATCAGCTCTGCAGGCCATGCTCAGCGATGGACAAGCTGCTGAATGTGCCATGCTAGCTCGGGAGAAGCAACGGGATGCGCTCGTCAAACATGTTCTACAGCTTCCGACAATACGTAACCGAAAAATTCATAACGCAGATGACCTATTCGACTATTTTCTCCTTGATGCTCAGATGGGACCACAAATGAAGACCACACGCATAAAAGGAGTCATCTCGTCGGTGCAGCTCTTCGTCCAGAGATGTCTCCTTGGCCTTGAAAAGGATTCAGGTGTCTTGAGTAGACATATCAACAAAACTAAGTGGGCATGGATGCAGCAGCACAACACGTGGCAGGCTAAACGCAAAGCCAACCCACAACCCGAGGACCAGATCGACCCGTCGCTACGAGACGAAAGTCGCAGCTGGATCAGGATTCAGAGAGAACAACATCAGAGACTCTAAATGCGGCATTCCAAAGCACACTCGAGCTACCCTGGCAAGACGAGATGAAGAAACCAAGGCAAACGCTCCCACCAGCTTGCTTTATTTCCTCAATCTCCAGCCCCAAACCGCTGCTGGCCATCCGTCCCGACAGGGCTAGCGATAAGGAGCCCATTCGGCCACTCTCGTACTAGGAAAACAGAGACTTGGTACAATGACGGACCTTGTTGTCAATGAGAAGAGAGACACCGACCGGGTAGACAGATTCTCGGCCTTCATGTATTCTCTAAGTCGGAAGATGAATAGCTTCGTCGTTCCCAGGACTTCTTTGGGCTTAGGGTCTGGTCAGCTCAAGTTCACTTCAAAGCTCTGACAATCAGGCTAAGAGGCTGACTTGTTACTTGCTAGAGGCGTAATGTTCCTTTGGGTCATATTCAAACAGATGAAAACCTCGTTTTCTATAGAGTTGAGTCCCTGGATAGGTTCCTCATTGAGCTCATCTGTGCTTGAAATTTGTCGTCATGTCTAACATTCCCGGTTCTCTTACAGGGTCCTACAGCTCCCCATTGTCCCACTGAGTCCGATCACTCTCATGCAAGCCAACCTAGAAGATGCGACCCTGACAAGAACCTTTCTCAAATTTAACACTTTTCGTACGACTCTGCAGTTGGACAAGCTTAATAAACCTGGGATGGGATTGATTTATGTCTACGTTAGAAGTAGAAGCAGGGTTGTCGTGCTGAGTGTGATCACGTGACTCCATCCTCGATTAGCCAGCTAATTCAAGCGTCCTCCACTGTGCCACATAACAACCGTATTTTCAACTCAACAATTGACCAAGTGAATAAACGCCTCCATGGCCGCGCTCATAAAACTGCCAACCGAAGTGTTGCAACAGGTATTAGACAGATCATCGAAGATTTTGACCTCAGTACTAAGTTGGCATAGATCCTGTTGCATGTCCACGATGGTTTTCAAAGACATCGTTTTGGAAGATACCACCCGCCGCTCGGTCGGTACGAATTGAAAGGGATCAATCATCGGGCAAACTTATGTTCTCTACGTTCAGTCAACCGGCTGTTCAATCAACTCGTCACGCCATTACTGTTCCAGCATGCCGTCATCACTTCCAGCAGTGGCGTCACGCGTCTTCAACAATTATCGAAGAATCCCTCACTCCGCGGACTTGTCCGTCGCCTAGAGATCTGCGTCGAAGTCCAACCTATAACAGACTTTGACGCTTTCGACGCAAAGTTGAAGACGAATGAAGACAAGAATCTGAAATATCTCGCACGACTAGCTATCGTCATCCACAGTACCTTGCCAAGGTTTTCTGGCCTTAAGATCTTGAAGCTCGACTTCACGGCAATTCCATATCGGCTCGACCGGGAAAATTATGATCTAGGGAGCCCTGACGGCTACTGGGAGCAGGACACTGCGAACCTCTTCGAATCCTTGGCTACAGCTATGCGCAGATCTCAGCTTAACAGGCTAGATGAAGTTGACCTCTCACTTCCACTCGCATTTGACTTTGGCCACTTTCTGGACGACGATGACGACAACGACGACGACACAAAACCACATTCAACACGGGCTCTTTTCCAACGACTCAAGCATCTCAGGCTTACCTATGAGCATTGCACCGACGAAGGCGAGGGCGTAGAGTTCCGGTGGAGGCAGCCCAATGAAGAGTATGATAAATACATCCGACAACTACTGCTGCTTGCGCCGAATATACACTCTCTAACACTCCAGGGCTCTGACGTACTCATGCTTGACCAGCCAGCAATCGCTCCTCTACGCCTGCGATCGCTGGACCTGCAGAGCCTGTCGATAACTGGCGATGCCTTCACTGCGCTTATCCAGCAATCTATAGCACTCGAAGATGTCATTCTACGTGGTGTCTATCTCGAATCTGGCACGTGGAAGGAGATTCTCTCAGCGATGAGCCAGTTGCCGATTACTTCCTTCTACATCGAGACGTGCGGTTACCAGATTGAAGGCGAGAATGGGGACTTTCGCCCGCTAAGTCCGGGCTTCCGACCTAGCGATGCTTTCATAGAGACGACTGAAGCTGACGATCTCGATGCTTGCGAGGCGGTGTTTTCACAGGTGCAGGAGAATAAGCGTCAGATATATGGAAGTAAATACGACGAGGCTGCGGACGTAGAGCGCAGGGGAGTTGAACTAAGGACGATTGAGATGAAATGGGACGCGCTAACCGAGTTTATGAAGCGCAGGTATGCCGCCGAGGTGTCTGAGGATGAGTCTTCAGAAGTTGAGATAACTGACACTGAGGCATCCGATAGTGAGTAGATTGCATCGAGCCATGATATCTATCACAAATAGCATAGATGCTTTGTATGCTCTTATTTAGTCTCGGCTGTAATAGTTGCGGTAGCCTTGGTCGCATATGAGGCTGACACCGCAGTAAGCTCTCAAGCAGTTAGAATAATTAGAATGGTAACGGCTAGATAGGAAAAGTATGCTGGGCCATATGGAGGAGTTCGTGGTTTGTAGAGTAGCCAGTACAGCAGGTTTATCGTGAGGCATGGATGCAATGTGCAAAGTGCGATGCTTCTAGATCTGCTTTCTTTGGCAGCCTGTCACGTCGGTGTCAAGATTCTTTCCTGAGATAGCATCAATGTGAGTGTTTCGCCTCCGAACCCCCGTCTAAGGTGAATGTGGGTTGAGAAAGCCAACTTAAATTCGCCATGTTTAGGATGAGGACATCGTGATTCGCACCGCACATTCAGTGACAAATCTTTCGTCATCATCCCGCGCGGTTATGGGCGCTAGCCTAGGAATCGATAGACACCCCCGGCCGCTAACTCCACTACGCGCGCGCGCGCAGTTCTGTCAGCATTTATCAGCTTGATTTCAAAAAGTGTAGAATATTCGGCCACCGAAAACGGGTAGTTTTCATATCAAGTCAAATGTAATAGAAATACGAAGGAGACGTCTCTGCGAAGATGAAATTTTAGAGGGCCTTCAAGGGATAGTAACGACACCACCAAACCAACACTACATCTAGACGAAACCGCATACTTCGTTCGAAGCATTCTAGGCTCCTTTTCATTCCAAGGGCTTTTCCAACCAAGACCAGAAACCCTTGTTCAACGACGCAACTAGCTATGCCCGAATTAAGGGGAATCAGCAAAATCTTCCCTGCAATAGAACAGGCAGAGGGCGCTGGCGCTCGAGTTCGGCGGTCTATCGGCAGCATGCGCATGCGAAACTTCTCGCCCTTTCTCATGCTCGACCACATGAACGAGAACAATAGCGCAGGCTTCCCGGATCATCCTCACCGAGGCCAAGAGACGGTAACATATATCCTTAAGGGATCCGCTGAGCATAAAGACTTTCTTGGGAATAAGGGTATTCTCTATGCTGGCGATCTGCAATTTATAATGGCAGGAAGAGGTATTATATATTCTGAACAACTCTTGGCTGATTCTGACGGAAGCCCTGGAGCTGGCTTTTAGCTATGAGTTGACCTCCCAAAGCATCTGAAAATGTGTGAACCGAGATACCGAGATCTGAGAGCCCGAGAAATCCCAATTGCACATCTCGATAACGGCAGGATACTAGTCAAGATTATTTCGGGCACATCCGGTAACGTCAATAGCATCAAAGACTTAGCATACACCCCGGTTTGGTATCTAGACGTCGAGATCCAACCTGGTAGTGTACTCGTTCAGCCTGTACTGAAAGGATAGAACGCCTTCTCCTATGTGTTTAAGGGCCACGCCAACTTTGTTACTTAACCCAACCTCTTGACCAAGGTTGAGGCATATAACACAGTCCTTTTCAAAACCAAAGGGGAGGCTATTAGCATCCAGGTTCCTGAAAATACACCTAGCAATACCCGCCTCCTTCTTATCGCAGGCCAGATATTGGATCAACCAGTTGTTCAACATAGACCCTTTGTATTAACTAGCACTGAGGGAGTCCAGCAAGCTTTTGAGGATTTCTACAGTAGCAAGAACGGATTCGAAAGGGCTAAGGGATGGCAGAGTGAGAATATGAGGCGGAGAATGAGTATTTGAAGGAGCACTAGTAGCGGCGGAAGCGCATGTTACAGACATATATAAAATCAGATATCTACATCTCATACTTCATTGTTGAAGTATGCAACGAGTTCAACGTCGAGGCAGTCACCTTATTGCAACCACATCTAGGTAGAGTAACATATCCAGTTCACGGATCCTTCCTAAGGTCGAAGGCAAATGAAACTTGAAGTCGAGGGCCAAGGAATGTCTTCATTTGAATCCTTCGTTCTGCACTGCTCAACCCCACCGCTTGAGCACCCTATTGCTGATATTTCCTCACATGATGACCTCGAACTGCATGATGGATGAATATGCAACCAGATAAATCTACTTCACTTTAAGCTAAGCTAGGACACAAATCTGTGATCACGGCACCCTAGATCTCCATTCAGCTCACGCACATTGCCAAAACTCAACAGCTCAATCAGTCTTAAACAGACTTCAATGACTGGGGATAAACCCGGCAGCCTTGAATTATTTTAAATCGGTTGAGACGTAACAGATTTGCCTTATTTCACATAGCAGCTCCTCGATGCTAATGTATCTGGGCATAGATGCCTTCATGGCTGAAATAAGTAGGCCGAGTGATATAGGGGCAATAATGACGAGACCTAGAAGAATAAGCTGAACAGCAGCTTTAGGGTGAAGAATGGATTTTCGGTCTCGGTAACAAGCGGCCTAATGTCTAATAGGATTTGAATTACTAAACTAATACGTTTTATTTAACAGAGCAAACATTTCACCTACAATGCTACGAGCACTCTAACTCATGATCGCTCCAATCTCTTCAGAGCCTCTCCATCTCCTTTCTTCCACGGGTGTGTCTCCTCAATTGAGCGTATCATGCCTTCATGGTGCGGAGACCGCGGTTTAATCGAGGCCTCAAACGGTTCTGAGTGGCTGATGACACCCGATGTAAACTGTAACTGAGGGCTACCCTCCCCTCTAGTAGCTGCTCGCCCCTCAATGTTGAAAACAGCAAGGGATTGTGAGATATTGAGGAACAGCGCTTGGTCAGCAAGAACGCGCCCCGGGCAGATTCGTCTGCCAAAGCCGAAGACATACTTATGAGGGTCTGTTTCTGGGCTTAGATCTTCAGTTTTGAGGAAGCGTTCAGGTTTGAATGTTATAGGGTCATGGTAGACTTCTGGATTGTATGTAAAATACCTAGTACTATAGTTAACTAGAATTCGATTAGCCAGTTATAAAAGAAAACACTCACTAAATATTAGGAAGTAATATTGCGCCTTTAGGAATTGCATATCTATTAATTATATCGTCCTGGGAGCTAGTATAAGGCAGTCCTATAGGAGTAACAAGGTGCCAGCGTAGAGCTTCTTTAACCAAAGTATTAATATATAGCAAGTTATCACAATCAGCTAGGTTAGGTAATTAATCCTGACCTACGATTTTATCGATTTCTACCTGGGCTTTATACTAAACCTCTGGATATAATATTATCGCCAGGAAGAAGTAAGTAATTAAAGAAACAGTCTGGAAATATTAGCTAATATACCAATAGCAACAAATAGGAAGTGTATACTATATTAGTACCTGTAGTATATAGTACTATTGCCAACTACTTATTTATTAGCTTCTCCTCTACTAAGTTACCTCTAGTATTAAGTAAACTTAATAGAAATAAGGTATTATATATCCCTTAGGACAGTTACTCTTTTATAAATATATAGAGTATATTAATAATATTTTGCAAATTAAAGTGTATCTTTTTAGCAGTTTATTTAAATAATATACTAGAAAACCAGTTAGATAGATATCTTACTATAGAGATTTTAAAGGGATATTAATATATATATATTTAAGGTTAAAGTATACTTATAAAATAGAAAAATATCTACAGCCTACGATCTAGGTGTAGTAGCAGTAGCAAACTGCTCTATTATATTTCTAATTATATTAATAAGCAGATTGCTCTTAAAGAGTTCTAAGTAATAGCTATAAGCTATTTCTAAGATAATTAAGCTAGCTTCTCTATAGTAATATATCTATTAGTAAAGTAATACTTACTAGATATACTTAAATTTACTAATCTTTTAATATAATCAAGTAAACTATCGGGATTTTTAAGAAGATATATTAAGAAATAGCTAATTTTAACTTTTTAGAGTTTATTATAATACCCAGTAAATAACTTAGAGCTAATAATTCAGCTTATTCCTCGATGAGGGAACCTAGTGTTTGAATTTACTGCATTTTCGTTGCGCGCATGTCACAGTTGCCAAGGCCCAAGTTTTGGGTTTCAAGCTGCTTTTTTCTTCTCTGCCGGAATCCTATCTAACTTTTTCAACTCTAACCTTGATGAATGCACTGAAAACTCCCACAACCCAACCTCTAGAACGCCCCGAGATCCAAGTCATTCAAATCCCCCCTCCAGCCAGCATCCTAGGTGGCTAGCATCCGTACCAGCCCGACGCAGCATAATAACTCCTAGAACCAGGGGTTGTATTTTTTACAGCTAATTTCTATAAGGAACTTTTGGCCCCTGTTGTTGTTAGTGTTTTAATATTATCAGCCAGGTCATATAATGTAGCTATTTCTATCCAGATAAATATAATATTGATACTAGTAGCCTAACTTCCCTGCAGATTGGCTTTGTTCCTATTATTAAGAAATAGACTGCATCTAAAAATGGCTAATATAATTCTTTGGTTTTTATCTAGGCATTCTAGATGGTATGGTAAGAGGTCTAGGAGGTTTCTTTCTCTAAGAAATTTTAGATAGTTATCCAGCTTGTATCTTTCCCTTTTATCTTAAAGATTCCAATGGAATCCTGTACTATACTGGAATCTAGAGTTGTATCCCTAATATATAGGGATATATATAATAAGGGCCTTGCAATTGATGGTTGATATGGTAATAAGTTATTTAGATGAAATTTATTAAGATGGGATGAGTATTAGAAGGGAAGTTAGTCCCTTAACGATAGGAGACGTCTCTCTTATATCCTATTACTCGGAATAAGATTACTATCTTAAGATTGTTAACTACAGATAGTAAGGTTATTAACTATAGATAATAGAATTGAAGTTAGAGGGGTTGAATGAAAGCTTTAGGTAGAGACTGGTGGGCAATAATCTTATTATTTAGTTACTATTTCTTTTAGTACTGGATGTAGCTCTTATTATTTATTCCTATTATTTGAGATTACTATATAAGTTTAATTTATCTAATAATATTAAGTAAAGCTAAAAAAACTAAATAATTTAGCTTATATTCTTATAATAGATATAGAAATAATTTCTATATTGGGAGAATATTAGAAAATTGCCCTAACTAATTTTTTAAAACTGAATTAGATTTTATTATTTTAATTATTAATAAAAGTTACTTATATATTAGCGGTAAAAACTTGTATAGGCCTATTTAAGTACTTAAGAGCTTTTTTATTTAGAAGCTCTATAGTAATCTTAGTATTATTAATAATAATTATGTTTTAGCAATCTCTTTAATTCTACTTAGATATATTATTCAGACAATATACTATAGATATCCTTATACTTAAGCTAATAATAGGCTTCTAGCTTACTAGGTTTCGGTAAATTAAGTATATTTCCAACTAATAGAAGTCCCTTAGAACCCGGCGGCAGATTTGCTTATTTTCCTTTGCTTTCAGTAGCCCATTTACTAATAAAAATGGCTAATAGTAATGTTGTGGCCACACTGGCTAGCGTGATTGTAGACACTATATTTAGGAACGGTGGAATGGAGCACTGTAGAAGAAAAATAAAAGCGCCCGGAAAACATCCTCTTTTATTATAGTGCCAGATTTCTAGCCTATAGCAATATATATCTGTGTTAAGAATCTAGGGTTACTTTCAGAGTGGATATTTCTTGACTCACCCAGTTTTCTAGAATCTAGAACCAATCGCCCAGGGATGATTAGTTTCATCCTACAAAGAAACCTTCCCAACCAAGCCAAATGGCCGAGACTTTATAGATCTTGCACCATTAAGCCAATAGATCATCACACAATGTAACCAGCATTTCAAACCCGCTGTACCCACTCCGAGGCCCTCAACCACAGCTAAGATCAGCCGGACGGAAGGAAGCATACTAGCTCAGCCATTTCAGGAGGTGGGAGGTGGAACGGGAGTTCGGCAGTTTTAGTTCGCGGTGAGAAAGTACTAGGTGGAAGTCTTAGGGCTTCGTGATGGCACGGTTTTCCTTTTTACGCATGGGTAGGATAGCACATGAGTGTACATACCACACAGTGTTCGGAACTCGTCCCATGAAGATGGGTTGGAGGTAGTAGGGTGTGCCCTTTTCACAGATGTGAGCTGAACTCCAACGTCACTGTGTATCTTGGCGAAATCTGTCAAAGTGTTGAACGATTTCGCTTCGGCACGATGAAGTTGCATTGTTCGTTCCGTAGGCAAAATCCTGTCGGCGCCTTGCTTTCGCAGTAGATCGAGAAATCCGAGAATAAGCGACGAAGCCGCAATCTTTTTGTTGATCACAGGCGCCACGCTAGTGTATCTAAGATATCAGCATCGAATCAATAGGAGTAATGAAAGAAGTTGTGTAGACTCACGCTTCTGAAAAAAAGGCAACAGGGTCCTCGAAGTAAAGAGCGAGATCAACCATGGCTAGTCCATCTGCTTTGCCACAGGTTTTGGATGTGTAAGCATCCAGGCAAGGTTGGATAGTCTCACGAGCCTAAACCAAGATAGAGCTAGGGGTTTCAATGGCAGAAGGAGTCGAGTCGTCAGAAATGGGCACTAAATTTACAATGACCCGGCACTGATCCGCAAAGTGACGGTAGGACGAGATGGCAGATGTCAGTCTGTTGAAGTCAGCTTCCCAAGGCTCGTTCCAATTTGCTCGGCCACAAAAACCTACCCTTTGCGGAAAGCAATGAGCTGGTCTTCAACCACTATCGCCAGTCCCTAGCGATTGTCATAACCAGGTAAAAAAGTCAAGCGGCAAATCGCCTTTGTGGCTGACGGCAATTCTTTCAAAAAGAGCATAATGCTTTCGCTGAAGTGCAAGCTTGAGGATGTCGCGCATGGCCTCGCCGTCGATTGATATGTTATGAAGAAGAGAAGGGGAAAGTTATTACCGTGACACGATACCAGTGCGTGACCGAAGGCCCATAGTTTCCCATGTAGCCTTCGTATTCGTCTTCAGCTTCAGGACCCTCAAAGCAGTCATCTTCCAGGATGTCGTCTTCGTCAAGACTAAATTATGTTGTGGCACGATTAGGTTCAGGGTAGCTATCTATTGACTTGCGAATTTGAGCGACCCGTATCTGCAGTCCCCCACACTTTATTTCAGCTTCTGCAATAGACTGGGCCTCTCGGGACAGGCCATGTGTCGATCCCCTGCAATCAAAGCCTATGATTGGACAAAATAGTGCAGAGTAAGCGCTTGCGAGGGAATCGGGAGCTTAGTCCCAATAATCGGAAGCTTAGTTCCGTTACCCATGTCAGCTGAAAAATGTCTTTAAGATGCGGCTTGCGGCTGCTTTCTTTAAAGCTGTTTCGTTCTGTGACAATTTTATTTCCGACACGAAGTTCATCCAGAGACATCTAGACGTTTATCGACTGTGTTTTCAATTTGAAACATATTTCAAACTTCCATGCAATGCATCCTCTGAAATTTCTTGTCTTCCTTGTCGCCCCATCGATGGCAGCGACAGACCCCATCACGGTAAATTCTACCTCCTCAGGTGGTGAATCATAACTAATTGACTCTTGTGCAGTCTAGGCACTTTAGTCAGAGGAACTACAAGGGTGCCCACGCTGATATCCGCGGTTGGGGGTGCGCAAACGTCAACAAAATGTCTGGTCAATACCTACCCATCTCTCTAGTTCTCCTATGCTAACAGATCAACAGAGGGTTCAAAGTCAAAAGTATCCATAAGACCAAGAAGTCCTTTTGTTACGCGTACAGGTAAGCACTAAAATAGTGTACCGAAGGCATGATCTAACAATCATACAGCAAAGTAAATTGTAAAGGCACAAAAATTTACTTCTCACGCGATGTACCCGACATGGATACGCATTTTGCGACACAGTCTATCCAGTGTTATGATACTTCTTTTTGATGATATGCTTGGTACAAGACTTGGAGCTTTTGGTTTGACGTGATTTTGGGGCATCGCAAGATATAAGTTTTTTGTAAACGTGACGTTTTCGTGATATGCCCGGACGGTTCACAACAAAATTACTCTTCGGTGCTCGTATCTCTTGACTCCCTTGACACCAGGTTCATCAAGGTTCCTACACACTCCGGTTTGCACATTCTTGTGTCTTTTATCGTCGGTTATGTTCTGAAGCGAGAAGTAGAGACGCGAAAATGACCTACCTGGGAGCTTGACTAAGCAGACCTTACTAGCGTTCGTTGTCCCACTCTTGCTCTGATACGTCAAGCCCTGGGGGAACACCGGAACACCACCACCCGAAGTGACGGATGCCGTAGGGTAGGCTGGATGTGTAGCGGAGCGAGGATGGACAAGACTCGCAAAACAAAACAGACAAAAAGAGAGCCAGAGCTACAACTAAGAAGCTGGCTAAGAAATAAATCAGATATTACGGTTGACCAAATCATTTTCATCATAATGATATCGAAAACAAAATCTAAAGCTCAAAATAAAGGTGGGCAAGACGGTGATTGATTGCTATCTGTGTCTGAGTAGTCTGAGCCTTTAATCTCAGACCAATTCCTGTTACCCTTATCAATAGCTTTATCAAGACTGGCACTTAGATCGGCCGGCTAATTAAAATCCTGGGTCATTCTAGCCAGTGGGCCCTCAGCCCCGACACAGTAAGGATCTAGAGGATGTAATCAAATCTCAGCACACAATCGAACCGCATCCATATTTCGGCTGCAATAACGTTGTTGAGCGGCATACTAGGGCATGGCCTTGTATTATCTCCCATGGGTCTATTCGCGTAGCACATGAAGGGTACCTTGGCATGAAACGGCGTCGTCAGCGACCTACCTCGTACTGAGCGACATTCACTAGTATCCATGTACTTAGATGAGTGAATCTTAATTATTCGTGTATTACCCGCCGCCCATTTGTTTGATGTTCTTCGCGTAGCCTAGACTTAATTCCTAGCTGCAAGACTAGATGGGACGGATAATTCTAGGCCGCGACTGCCGATGCTGAATTTCGATGCAATCCGCCTTACTCCATGGGCCATCTCTGCCCGACATCGATGTGATGGAGCAACCTCAGTTCCGCTGTCCATTTGGCAACTGTCCGTGGGCTCCCTTTGAGTCTCTCGCTGTCTACAGCAAGGACAATGACTTGACCTCCTCCTTGGAGTGGTCTCGCAATCCTGGAGACTACCACGTTGTTTTGAGGCGCCTGTTGAGGTGGCGCGATCTAGGTGAACAAATATGGCCCCGAAGGAGGACAAGATGGACTGAGCGGCCGTCTGGGAGAGGCCGTAGGCTCAGGAGCTTAGTGAAAGAAGCTATGACTCAGACCGAACAATCCCGGGTCGATTTCGGATTCCGGGCCGTGGAGGTAAAGCTCGGGTAGTAGCTGCTCATCACTCGATGAGGGAAGATGTTGATGATACTGGGGGATCATGTCAGGCTGTAAGTAGCATTCTATTAGTTTGGCTAGTGTATCCTGTAACGCAAGCCATAATCAGAACCATGCCGGGAATTTTGGAGGCGTATTTGGGGCTACGCCAAGGCTATATC